GACAGTAAAGGTAATGACCTTAAACACAATAAAATCTCTATTGCTTGATATGAAGCCAAAGCCTCTTCTGTTTCAATAACATATCAAACTCGACCCTTGTCTCAGGTTTGCGACTTTGGACTGTCAAGATTCAAGGCAAACACTTTCATACCATCAAAGTCTGTTGCAGGAACAGTAAGCTCTCTTAAAGATATAATTACTGCAGCATGTGCATGTGGAAAAAATGTTCTGAGATTGTGAAACTTCTTCTCTTTTGGTATGTGTTTTAACAGCCTGAGTGGATGGCTCCAGAGTTTCTTAGAGGAGAGCCAACAAACGAGAAATCAGATGTTTACAGTTTTGGAGTAGTCCTCTGGGAGTTGATTACTTTGCAACAGCCTTGGAATGGACTCAGTCCTGCTCAGGTAACCAACACTCTCTCCCTCTTCACATGTGTTGTTCATTAGTACTAGAGTTCTAATTTTGAGTCTTGGCGTGGTGATCAGGTGGTTGGAGCGGTTGCATTCCAGAACAGGAGACTTATAATCCCTCCCAATACATCTCCTGTTTTGGTATCTCTAATGGAAGCATGCTGGGCTGATGAGCCGGCTCAGCGGCCAGCATTTGGTGGCATAGTAGACACACTGAAGAAGCTACTAAAGTCTCCAGTGCAGCTGATCCAAATGGGTGGAGACAAAGTGGTAAATTCAACTTAACCACTCCCATTTTGGAGCTTAAATATGTTAAACTTTTAAGGTACTAACATAAGAAATTAGGTGCGAGATGCGTTGATTAGCTCCTGAATTTGATTTTAAGATAGAAAAAAAAATCAATGAGACAAGGCCTTGCCTGGAAGAATGGAAGGTTTTTATTTTTTCTTTCTTGTTTTGGCTTGTATAGTTTTAAATGCTTTTGACTTTGAGCATAACATGCGAGACAAATGAATAAGATTATGAGATTTGATTTCTTGCGGCTGAAGATGGTTGTATGATACTTGCAACTGTTGTAATTTGCAATCTTTGTAAGTTGTATTTCATCAAAAGTTTATTGCTGAATTAAAAAATGGATTGGTAACAAAAGGAAGCAGAAAATATTAACCCAAGTGTGCTAAATAAAGGGAGCAGAGTCATTATAAAAGGTTAAGAAACAAATCACAACAACAAGGATCATCAAGGGAAATCCAAATTGATTTGGGAAGTTGATGATCTATAAATAAAGCAAAAAAAGAAAAAACTTGGCCTATGATCTAACTCTCTAGTTTCTTGCCATTGAGCCAGACAAGCTTTGGCACAACTTGGAGGACAAAAGAGCTGAACTCGTCCCTTGCAATTGCGTTGCCTGTTATATCCAACTGTTTGAGATTCAGATCTCTTAACACGAAATACGCATCCCAGTATTTGGTGACCAAATTAGGCGTCTTTCTACCAACTTCATCCTGAGTCCACTCCGAATTAGAGAGCGGTGAAGAACAAAGGTACCTCGTTGTGTCCACTGAGTGCTCACCGATGTGGTTGTGTGAAACATTCAACACTCTCAACTGTTTCAAATGTCTTAGTGAGTCCAGAGCTGAAAAACTCCGGATTTTGTTGTGACTCAGATTTAGGCAAGAGAGAAGTTGCATTGCCTCCAATCCTATGACGCACATACACATCATTTTAATCACAGATGCAATAACTGAAAACACAGTACATTTTGAGCAACGTACCTTCAGTTGAGTGAAGCTCATTGTGACTGAGGTCTAACATTTGGACAAACAGCAACTTCGCGACAGAGGCTATCCGAGATAGCGATAGGTTATTTAGCCGGAGACATACAGAGTTATTCATATTCCTGTATCGAAAGAGGTGTCTTGACAAATCGTCAGTACTTGAAGTCACCTGCATGAACATTCACTTTATGAGTAGCATGCATGATGAAACAGATCTAAAACAAACAATCAAACCATATACTGTGCATGAGAATGAAAGGAAATTTATACAGCTATTCATAAGGGCAGAATCTCAACATGTGGTGCACAGCTAAAACGTAGTCTACGTACCTTGTGGAGTAAAGCTACGCTGTGCTCATCCTTGTAATACTGATAGTGCGAAGAATCCAGCACCATTAGATCTTTATACAGCTCGAGGATTTCGTTATAGTCAACACCCTTAACAACATCATCCGATATCACAGCTTTAGCCATCAAAAGCCTTGCAAGGGTGAGCTTTCCAATTTTGCTAAAAAGAAAAATAAAACACAGTTCAAGACTCAAATTTCTCTTTCCCATCAAAGCGAGAAAGTAAACAGGATACCTGTCAGACAATTTACGAAACAAGATAATCTCTTCCGCTATAGCTTCCTGACGCCATTTGAAATCCATCTGAGCGTTTGATCGATTCAAGTTAACAAGAGAGTACAAATCCTTTGACTCTGCATCCCAAATATCAAAACCATCCGTCCATGAAACAATGTCTTCTTGCGACCCTTGAACAGTGTCATGAACATGCGCTGTAAAGATGAACTCATAAGATTTGCTGAAGTTACATCCTCTGGAAGAAACAATTCCTGGAGAGTTCCCAACTCTGACCTTCACTTCGTATTCCTTGCGAAAGCATGGTTCTGAACTCATATATTTAAGATGTGCAACCCATACAGAAGACATCTGAGAGTTTTTCTTCGAAACTGGTTCCCAAACAAGATCCTCATTTCCTTTCAGTTCAGAGTCAATCGTAACAGTAGCCGAGCTTACTCCACCAACAGCTTGGTCAAAGTAAAGAATAAGTGGAAAAGAACCCGACTCAGAACAAAAGGTAGTGAGCTTAGAAAAAGAGTCATTTAAGCACCCAGCAGACAGATTGATACGGGAACCATGTGAAGGCCATGAGGAAGTGAGAAGAGGAGTCTCCACATTAACAGTTTGATCAAGAAGCCAAAGATGATAAAACCACCCACTTTGGTCATCTTCGTCCGTAAAAATAGCACTGTGTACAAGTTCATATTCATCAGGAATCTTTGCATTTGGCAAGAACCCATCAGCCTTTCTTGCAAGCAAATTTGAAAGAAGTACACTGCAGAATATCAAGCAATAAAAAAGATTTACTTTTAGCTCAATATGCAAATATGCTGATGTGCAGAGAAAATTCCTTTGTGATGTTTACTGAATCAATGAGCTATAGTGTAATTAAACCTTTGCTTTTTAGTATTCGATAATTATGGTGGTGATATCAAGCAAATATTAAAGAATGAAGAAGCAATGCACACCAAAAGCCATTGTTTCGCCGAAGGAAACTTCATATATTTCATGAGTAATTGAATCCCTACATCTATGATCTTAAATTTTGTTCTGTTAGTTACTTCTATTTAGGTCGTTAAGCATCAATCTAAGACCACAAATTCCTCCGTTTCTTTAAATACAACAAAAAAGGAAGAAGAGAATATGAACATGGAAATCAGAATACTTGCTGAAATAAGATATTTTACTAAATAATATGCGTACCTACGATTATGCCACGCAGAATAGTTGCTGAAATCAGAACCGATCATATTGTCTGTATACTTCAACTCATCCTGTTCTGACCTATTGGTTAGCTCCACCACAAACCTGGTAAAGGAACAAACACATGAATATTCAAAGCTTCATGGACATACTTACAAAGAATGTTGCAACTCCCTAACTTTCACCTGCGATAGTTCCAAGCGTGAAAGTTCCTTGAATCCAGCTTCTGGAATTTATCCAAAAGTCGCATCTCATTGGCTACGGAGGAATTCCCTTTACTCAAAACCCACTTCCGATGATGCCAAGCACCATATGACTTGAAGTTCTGCCTCAAAGCACTTTCCACCTGAATTTATAACAGAACTCACAGTAATCAATGGTCAACTACCTTCATAGAAAGAGCAAATCTGACATATATGGATGCCAGTTTTCAAAGTGAAGCAACTAATCTAACAGTTCAGAACAACAGATATAAAAAAAACTTTCCATCTCGGAATATTCTATCAAAAGTGAATTTTAAATCACATATACACATATGTGTTCTTATCACACTGAAATAATTTTCGTTAGTAGTATTAAACCAATAGAGGTTCATAGAAGCTAAAATCTTCTGTTGCAGGAAGTCAATCTAGGTCAATGGATGTGTGGTAAATGCACAAAAGTGTACAAGTCTTGATCCATTAATTGTTATATGTGCAGGAAAACGCACCACACTAAGTTCTTCATCGAGAATTGTCTTGACCAAGTCTGGATCAGACTCAATTCGAGAAAGCTTATCCTCCACAGCGAGCTTCCGATAGTTCCACGCGGTGTACGCCTCCGGATTGATCTCTAAGAGCTTCGTGCTCAAGTCAACAGCTTCCTTTGTATAACTAGACACCAAAAATTCCCAGAACATCCAGCAAGCAGCAACATAAGATTAGTATACGAACAGTTTACTATTCGGTTAGAGATTAAAGTTTGTTACATTTTGTTATGGTGATTGGACATGAACTGAGTCTGGAGAATCCGGAGCTTAGCGGCTTTAGCAGCGGAAGCCGCTTCCTCTTCTGGCTTGTAAGCCTTCCTTGGACGGCCGTGCATGTTTCTCCGATGAATGTGACGTAAGATTCAAATCTGATCAGAGATTCAGAATACAATTAGAAAGTTAAGAGAAACACTCGATCCAGATAACAGCGTTTTCAGAATCTAGAAATCAACAGAGATTCAGAAAAAGGAGAAGAAGAAACAGATCACCTGTGAGGTCACGTAGCGACGTCGATGGATAGGATTCGAGAACGATGAACTGAGAAGAAGGTTTTTATTTGCGCAAGGGGGTTTCTATAGGAGATTTTCCGGTCTGGTTTATGATTTCAAGCTCCATAAACATGGTTTAATTGAAAAAAGGCGGTCAAATACGAACCGGCTTTTATCGGAATATATCGGTCTGGCTTATGATTCTAATCTACGTAAACCGGGTCTAATTGAAAAACACGACCGGGTTTTGGAAGTCTCGTTTATATTTGTGGAGGCTTTCGTCGTCATCACCGTGTTCTGGGTTTTCACTTTATAATTCATCCTCTACTTTGGCGACGAGGAAGTGAAGAACTTTAGCAAACCCTCCTTTGAAAAGGTTCACATCACTCTCAATTTCGTTTTCACTATTTGACTATATCCGTACGATGATTTGGGGATTTAGGGTTAGATTGTTACATCTTAGCTCGTTTTGTACGATTTTGACGGATAATTTCTGAAAAAAGTTTGTATTGTGTAGTTTGATTAGCTCTGAAGCTGAGCAGTAATGGAAGATTCAGAGAAAAGAAAAGAAATGCTAAAAGCAATGCGGATGGAAGCTGCTGCTGCTGCTGCACAGAATGATGGTTCTACTGAGCCTGAAGCTTCTATGAACACAAGTCACCTCTCAAACCCCTTGGCTGAAGCATCCACTCACCAGCAGGAATCGTATGATAAGCAGCCAAGGTTTGATTATTACACCGACCCGATGGCAGCTTATTCTAGTTTCAATAGAAACAAGAGCCCTAGGCAACAATACATCTCATCTCCTAGTCATCAAATGAGCCCTCCAGCACCCCAGTTTCCACCATCTGTTCCAGGTACTTGCTTTGAGATTGTTTATGTGTTTGTGATAGTCTTGATAGTCAATGCTTCTGTCTTAGGTTCATTTTATCTATATCCCTGTGAGGCCATAGAAAGTAGTCATAAAGAAGATGTCTTAGTTCCAAATCAGCTAACTAACTGTGTGTTAGCATGTTACTTGGTCCTTGTTATATATAAGTATAGGATTAAACAGATCTAGGAACAGTCTGTCGGTAGTTGGGAGAGTGAGAGTTACGTGATCTCTTTAAAAAATCGAAAGGATAGTTTTGCTCTTTGTTAAGGTTTAGTCATATGTTCTTGATTGTAAACGGGATTTCAAAATCTATGAAGAAATGCGTCAGTGTTCATCGAGAATCAGGTTCCAAACCTTCAGCTTTAGCTAGATTAACTTGATATATCCCTTTATGTCAAGTTTCTAGGACTGAACAGTACTATAATCACTTCACGTTGGAACTCATTTAACTTTTTGTTCTCTTTCTTGGAACGAACAATAGTAATCCAGTCCTGATCCTTGCATTATAATTGTGAACAGGATCGGTGGGGAATGACTATCAGGCACATCCCAATCCTGGTGGTTTTCAAGAAGCTCATTACGGTGGTGATAATATGCATACCGAACCAAGAGGGATGGCACCGTCGTACAGAGGTCCACCCGCTCCTTGGAATAACAATTTTAGGCCTCCACCACCAGTTAACCATTTAGGTCCACCTCAATGGGTGCCTCGCCCTCATCCATTCTCTCAGGGAAACCATAATATGGGTAATAACAGATATGGTGGTCGAGGTCCTCGAGGAGGCAACTATAACAATACCCCTCCACAATTTCACCATCACGGACGACAAAATTCTAACTGGGCTGGAAACTCAGGAAGAGGCAGAGGCGGAGGACGCGGTATGAATACAAACTTTGGGAGAGGTGGAGGAAGAAGACCCATGGAACAAAGTGCAGAACGATTTTACTCCAACTCCATGGCTGAAGATCCATGGAAGTATCTTAAGCCAGTATTATGGAAGAGCTGCTCAGATGCTTCAAGCAGCAACTCAACAGGTCAAGCCTGGCGTCCCAATTCTATAGCACCGAAGAAACCTATGATATCAGAAGCTTCCCACAAACCTAGCAGTAATCAGCAGAGCCTTGCTGAGTACCTTGCTGCTTCTCTAGAGGAGGCTACGTGTGATGAGCCAAGCAATTGATCAGGACATTTTGAGCAAAAGGGAATCCAAGTATATGGAGTACCATCAGATGTCATTACCGATGACTCTTTCGTATTGTTCCATGGCTGGTAAAAAGAGACAGCAGAGAATGATGATCATCTTGACGGTGCAGTTGAGAGTAGAACATTTGAATTTTGGATGAGTTGTTTTCTTGTTTGGTTTGTTCAGATTGGTTTAGGTATTTCGTATACAGAAAACACAAGTCTATTTTAACCATATTAAGATCTTGGTTTGTTGTTTCGTCGGTTATTTTAATTTGGTTTTGGATGGAACAGGGTTGCTAATAAGATAGGTGTACTTATTAATTGAAACCATCGAACATGTATCATGGTGGTAATAAAAGGTGTTAGTTGTTAGATCTGATGACTCAACTCTCCAAAGAGAGCTTCTTCATTCAACTGCAATGATTTGAATCAATTTAGTTTATCTTCTTATATAATAAAGTTGGCTTCTTTCACTCCTTGGGGGAAAAAATGCCATGTGTCATCTTCTTTTAATGATGTTTTTATATTTATTATATTTAACAAATTTTAGTTTACTTAATGAACCAATAAATGCTAATAAAAATTAAAACATTAATTAAAAATAAAGTTTCTATTTCATTATTATTTTTTTAGTTTTTAATTTTAAGGAAAATTTAAAAATAATTTAATATATATTTTTATTTATGAACAAATGATATATATAAGTTAATGTGATTTTTTTATATAATAAAATTGGTTTTTTTTTCACTCCTTGGGAGGAAAAATGCCATGTGTCACCTTCTTTTAGTGATGTTTTTATATTTATTATATTTAACAAATTTTCGTTTACTTAATGAACCAATTTCTTGCTAATAAAAATTTAAACATTAATTCATTATTATTTTTTAGTTTTCTATTTTAACCAAAATTGACAAATAATTTTAATATACATTTTTATTTATGAAAATGATATATATAAGTATTTGTGATTTTTTTACAATGTACTTATATTTAGTTTATTTTTATTAATGTTATATATGCATTTATATTGTAATGGTGATATATGATTTATTATTTATAAAATATTTCTAAAGTTTTTCTAAAATAAATAATTATACATCTCTTATATAATAAAGTAGAGTTTTATCTCTTCATAAAGGCAAAAGATGATACTTGTCATTCTATCATTTGTTGAAAGTGTTTTAGGTCCCATTATAAAAATCTTTTATTTTATTTGAATATTTATTGATTTTTACAAATGATATGATTTTTAATAAATATTTTTAGTCCAGTAAATTAAAAAAAAAACTTTCTCGCTTTTAACTTGTTCTTCAAGATCGATGACAACTTTCATATCTCTAAATATGAAATATCTAAATAAATATCCTTGATTCTTAAATCTATTTGGTCAATTTAAAAATCAATATTCTTGATTCTTAAATTTAATAAAGTTGGTTTTTTTCACTCCTTGGGGGAAAAATGCCATGTGTCATCTTCTTTTAAAAATGATATATATATAAGTCAATGTGATTTTTTTTTACAATGTACTTATATTTAGTTTATTTTTATTAATTTATTTATGCATTTATATTGTGATGGTGATATATGATATATGATTTATTATTTATATAATATTTCTAATTTTTTTCTAAAATAAATAATTATACATCTCTTATATAATAAAGTAGATTTTTTTTCTCTTCATAGAGACAAAAGATGATACTTATCATTCTATAATTTGTTGAAAGTGTTTTAGGTCCCATTATAAAAATCTTTTATTTTATTTGAATTTTTATTGATTTTTACAAATGATATGATTTTTAATAAATACTTTTAGTCCAGTAAATTAAAAAAAAACTTTCTCACTTTTAACATATTCTTCATGATAGATGACAACTTTCATATCTCTAAATATGATATATCTAAAAAAATATCTTTGATTCTTAAATCTATTTGGTCGATTCTAAAATCAATATTCTTGATTCTTAAATATATTTTCATTTTCAAATCAATATCCCTGATTTCCAAAAGATTTCCGTAAAATGAGAGTCTAAAAGAAAAGAAAAAGCTCCAACAAGTCAAACCAAAACGAAGAAAAATTGAATTACACAACAATTCTAAAACCGAAAGTAAAAAAAAAAAAAAAACGAAAAGACAATTAAAATCATTTTAAAATCAACACCCTTGATTCTTAAATCTATTTGCTCAATTTTAAAATCATATGATTTATTAAGATTTGGATATCCTTGATTCCGTAAAAAGTTATTTTCATTTTGAAATCAATATCTTTGATTCTTAAATCTATTTGGTCGATTTTAAATCATATGATTTATCAAAGATTTCTAAATCCATTAAAATAGTGGAATCAATAACCTCCACTAAATGTTATCACATGTTTACTATAATTATTCAAGAATCAAAATTTTATTAATTATCAAAATGTCATGTAAGCATCTGTAATGCGTGTAAGCTTACAAAAAGTTCAGTATATAATTTTGGTTAAAACGATTAAGTATTATAGACCCAGTGTAGTAGAATTATTATAGTTATGAATGATTATATTACAAAATTTAATATACACTACTTTAATATACGATTGTTGGCAAAAATAAATATAGAATTATTTTTTTTTCAAAAAGGTTTAAAATTTTAAACAAAATAAGAAATATAAAGTTATATAAATTTGAATTATCAGGTATGATTTTTTATAGTTTTTTTTGTTCAGTAAATTGGAGAAAAATATTACCCGCTTCAACGTCAAAATTTTTTTTTATTAAAAAAAATACTATAATAGACATTGTCAGAATTTTGAAGAATAAAACAATTACCTATACAAAGACATTATTAAATACATCAGTTTGTCAAAAAGTAGTTCATCAAACAATAACCAAGCAATCTCATGTAGACATTACAGTTTTGATCAAATATCATGTAAATTTATTTTAAATCTTAGCATAATTAAAACAGAAACATATAACATCTATTTTCAATATTAGTTCGTTTACAATTTAATAATTTAAACTTCATTTTATAATTTATATTTTTGCAAATCGATATATAGGTATTATATATATTCAAAATTAATATAATATATTAAATTAACTAAAATTTATATAAGAAAATCCGGGCGTAGCCCGGAATAACCACTAGTTATAAATAAAGGAAGGTACCTTTGTCAATCAACATGTAACATTTAATGTCACCGAAAAGGTTGTCTCAACTGTCCGACATCACATTACATGCAACTAGATACTTATAAACACGTCCCATTTAGGCTACAAGCTTCTACACATATTAGTCATTCCTCTCCTCTCTCTTGTAATGGAGGCAAGCCCAGTGACAGATGTGAAGATCTCGTCGGTGGTGCCTGCTTCTTTGACAGGCGAGAACAAGCCACGGCATCTCACGGCCATGGACTTAGCCGTGAAGCTCCACTACGTCCGAGCTGTTTACTTCTTCAAGGGTGCCCGTGACTTCACCATCACCAACTTGAAAGACATTACGTTTCCTCTGCTCGACCTCCAGTGTTATGACCATGTGACGGGTCGGATCCGGATTCTCGACAACAACGACGACCCTTCAGCTCAAGCTATACATTACATTCGCTGCAACGACAGTGGGATACGTATAGTTGAAGCCAAAGTCGAAGGGTTCACGGTCCAGGAGTGGCTTGACTTGGATGACCGTTCCATCGACCACCGGTTCCTTGTCTATGATCACGTTCTTGGTCCTGATCTTTTCTTCTCTCCACTCGTTTACCTCCAGGTAACTACTACGTATATACGAGTTTTAGTATTATTAATGGTCTCACACCATCTCCAATGGTACTTTATAATTTTCTCCATATCACTTTAAAATATTATAACTTTATAATAGAATTATATTTGCTCCAGTGGTTTACTCCATAATAGAGTTACACTATAGAGTTACACTATAATACAATGGAATATAGGGGAATGTTTTTCAAATCCAACTCTATGATAGAGTTACACTATTTTAGAATAAAAATTATAGAGTACCATTAAAATGTTCTCAGGCTAAACAACATAATTACATTCAATTTTTTTTTTTTTTATCATTTTTCTTGTTTTATCTTTTACTATGAACTGAACACTTGATAAAATTGAGAATCTTAAGTTCACATTAGAGTTATTTTATTCCAGTAAAAATATATTAAATTTACGTTTGCTTAGACGGTTTTGTTTCTAAATATATAGTGAAGAACCTGTATATAAGCTGTCTGCACCAGCTAAATGATTTGTCTTTAGGTACGTCTAGTCTAATAAGGTTAAGGTCCGCATAGATGAGATTATTTAGTAATATAATCTTTGTTTGTTGAAATCTATGTACAGATAACACAGTTCAAATGCGGTGGGTTATCAATAGGGCTAAGTTGGGCCCATGTACTAGGAGATGTAGTTTCAGCATCTACTTTCATGAAAACAATGGGACAGCTAATGTCGACTCATGGCCCACCCAAACCCATCTACCCGAAAAAGCCTTTACTGGCTCCACCGCATGCTAATGGTCAAGCTGATGATGATGATGATGGTCAAGCCATTTCCATTAAGAAGATAGATTCAGTTGGGAAGTATTGGTTACTTAGCAATAAATGCAAGATGGGGAGAGATAACTTTAACTTCAGCCTCGAGCAAATTAACCGTTTGATGGCCAAGCATGACCAATCTTTTTCGGAAGTTAGTATTCTGTATGCATTGATATGGAGATCGGTACTGAACATCCGTGGCGAAACAGACACGAATGTTATAACAATTTGTGACCGTAACATGTCTTCAACATGTTGGAACGATGACTTGGTGATAAGTGTAGTGGAAAGAAAAGAGGAAATGAGTGAAGTATCCGAACTAGCGAGGCTCATTGAGGTCGAGAGAAGAGAAGAGAACGGTGTGATCAAGGGGATGATTGAAAAAGATAGAGGCTCTTCGGATTTTATCACGTACGGTGCAAACTTAACGTTTGTGAATCTTGACATGTGTGACGAACTTGAGATCAAAGGAGAGAAGCCTGATTTCGTGAACTATACGATTCATGGTGTTGGGGACAAAGGAGTTGTGTTGGTGTTTCCTAAGAGAAAGTTTGAGAGGGTTGTGAGTGTTGTGATGCCTGAAGAGGAGCTTGCAAAGCTGAAGGTTGAGGTGAATAATATGATTATGTAACTTTTTGTAGTTCTTGTTTTTGGTTGTTGTCTTGTTGTTGTTCTCTGTGGTGCAACTTAGATACAATTTCTAGTTTTTTATTTGCATTATTGGATTCTCTTTGTCTTTTCTTCTATTAATGATTTGATTTTATCAATAAATTGTTATTTGTCTTTTGATTTACTAAATTTCCATGTCACTCTAATTCTTTTGCATTGGCGCCATCACCATCTACAAGCTTTTTTATTTGTTTAACATTGATTTAGATACACTTTCTAGTTTTTCGTTGTCTAATATCCGATTTATCAAAATTTATGTCTAATGGTTTACAGAAAATCTTTTAAAACCTTTTCTGTTAATTTGCATAATTTGCATAATTGCAAATAATTCATATTTTCAGAAATTGAAATGAAATCTCTTGATACAGAAATGTTTGACTTTTTAAAAAAAAGGTTTGAAAAATACCAAAAAAAAAACAAAAACAAAAAGTCAACAACAAAAGAGAAGAGAGTTTCGGTCGTTTTGGGAGATTCAATAAAAAGTCTTAAAAAAAACAAAGGCGTCTCTCTCTCTCTCAGATTCAACTTCACACACGTAAAACCAAACCAATTCCCTCTCTGCCCTCTCCAGCTCTGGAGGAGACAAAGAGTGACGTGGAAGATCAATCGAACCCAAAAAAACATGACATCTCCCTTCGATGCTTCTTCTGCTTTAGCTAAGCAGCTCAAGTCTGTTTTGGGGATGTCCCTCGACACTCCCGTGTCTGACGACACCGTCCTTGTGATTGCAACCACGTCTTTGGCCCTGGCTGTTGGGTTCGTGGTGTTGGTATGGAGGAAAACGACGTCGGATCAGAGCCAGAAGCTGAAGCCTTTGATGGTTCCCAAGTCTCTTATGGCCAAGGACGATGAGGATGTGGATTTGGAATCAGGGAAGAGTAGAGTCTCTATCTTCTTCGGTACTCAGACTGGAACCGCTGAAGGGTTTGCTAAGGTTAGTGTCTGTGACTAAGTGATGCATTGCACGGTGATTGGGTATTGCTAAAAAGGTTTTGCTTTGTTATGATTCTGGTGACTCGGAATCAAGTAGCTCTAGACGTTACACTATTGAAGTTGATATTTTTAATTTGTGATTCAAAGGTCCGGTCTTTATGAGTTGGGTCATTTTTTTTTCATAGGCATTAGCAGAAGAAATCAAAGTGAGATATGAAAAGGCTGCAGTCAAAGTTATTGACTTGGTATGATTTACTTACAATGTGATTCTCTGTTGACTTCATGATAAGACGCTAGTTTTAATCATTTGATTTGATGTTCTTCCTTTTGCTGGTTATTATGGTTTTTGATTAGGATGACTATGCTGCTGATGACGACCAATATGAAAAGAAGTTGAAGAAGGAAACTTTGGCATTCTTTTGTGTTGCTACGTACGACAGATTCAATTCTATTAATGTTTTCTTTGGCTTTATGCTCTTCAAGAGTTTTCTGGATTCATTTCTTTTAATAACGTGTTTAGCTATGGAGATGGAGAGCCTACTGACAATGCTGCTAGATTTTACAAATGGTTTACAGAGGTTTGTAGCCTCAAAGCAAAAAAAAAAACAAATCGAACCTCAAATTTGATAGGCTCTGTGTAGCTTTTATACAGAGGTTTGTCCCCTCAACAAATTAACTACTCTGTGTTTGATGTTTCCAGGGAAATGAAGGGGATATAAGGCTTCAACAACTAACATATGGTGTGTTTGCTCTTGGTAATCGCCAATATGAACATTTTAATAAGGTACTTTGGTAAATGTGTCTTCTCCTAGCTCATGGATTTTCTTCCGGACTTAACTTATGGTAATTTGATTTCTTGGAACAGATCGGCATTGTTCTTGATAAAGAGCTCACTAGGAAAGGTATATGAATATATTTACATAGTTCTCAAGTCTTGTCTAGTGCTAGGTATTGGAAAGACACCGAAAGACATATTGCTGTGATGGTTACTTATGATCATTGTTGTCGTCACTTTCAATGCAGGTGCAAAGCGTCTTATTGGGGTTGGTCTAGGAGATGATGATCAGAGCATTGAGGATGATTTTAATGCCTGGTTTGTTTCTGATTCTCTGTCTTTCGTTTCCTACTTTGATACCCCATTAGCATAGAAAGGGAAACTTTAGCGTTGGCTTGATTATTTGTGTTTTCAGTGGGAGATTATTTGACATCTATGCGGTATTATTCAATCTTGTTTTGCAGGAAAGAATCGCTATGGCCTGAGCTAGACAAGCTCCTCAGAGGTGAGGATGATACAAGTGTGGTTACTCCTTATACAGCTTCCGTTCCTGAATACCGGCTGGTGATTCATGATCCTAGTCTTATATCTGACAAAACAATGGACTCAAATGTTGCCAACGGAAATGCTGCTATTGACATTCATCATCCCTGCAGGTATACGAAGATCCGTGTAATATATACTGGATCACTGTTTTCAGTCTTGCTTGCATATTAACATTTGCTCCTTATTCGGAACAGAGTTGACGTTGCTGTGCAGAGGGAGCTTCACACGCCCGAATCTGATCGGTCATGTATTCATCTCGAGTTTGACTTATCTGACACTGGTATTACGTAAGTATCTAACACTGTCTGATATTATTTTAGTCAACAGCAGATCATGTAATGATCCTTTACAGATTTAAAAAAATCGTACCATTACTTTGCAGATACGAAACAGGAGACCATGTAGGAGTATACGCTGAGAATCATGCTGAGATAGTTGGAGAAGCTGGAAAATTGCTTGGCCACTCTCTAGAATTAGTATTTTCAATACATGCTGACAAGGAAGATGGCTCACCACTGGGAAGCTCGTTACCGCCCCCCTTCCCTGGTCCGTGCACACTTGGTACTGCTTTGGCAAAATACGCAGACCTTTTGAACCCTCCTCGAAAGGTTAACTTCTGTTCATCTTGAGATCATCAATCACATGGATTTTTTTTTTCTGGTGGTTTTGGCTTTTGCTTGTTCCCAACTATTTAACTTGTTTATTTTTGGGTTTCAGTCTGCGTTAGTTGCGTTGGCAGCCTATGCCACTGAACCAAGCGAAGCCAAGAAGCTTAAACATCTGACATCACCTGATGGAAAGGTTCTGAACCTTGTTTTTCTCTTAATTTAAGTTTTCATGAACTAACATCTTTGGGGGTTTTTTTGGCTCCAGGGTGAATACTCAAAATGGATTGCTGCAAGCCAGAGAAGTCTATTTGAGGTGATGGCTGCATTTCCATCTGCAAAACCCCCACTAGGTGTGTTTTTTGCTGCAGTAGCTCCTCGCCTACCACCTCGTTACTACTCCATCTCATCCTCGCCGAGGTGATTATATATTTTTGAGATACCTATTGTTAGCAGAAGGAAAAGAGATTCTCTCTGTCATCCAAAATCTCGCTTTATTTTACTAATACAGGTTGGCGCCAAATAGAGTTCATGTTACATGCGCACTAGTATACGGTCCCACTCCTACCGGTAGAATCCACAAGGGCTTGTGTTCGACGTGGATGAAGGTAATTCTCACCTTCAAGTTTTTTATTCCAATATATTTTACTTGGCTTTCTTCTGATAGCGCTTTGAAAAGCTCAGAATGCAGTTCCTTCGGAGAAAAGTCGTGAATGTAGTGGAGCACCAATCTTTATTCGATCATCTAATTTCAAGTTACCGTCCAACCCTCTAACTCCAATCGTTATGGTAGGACCGGGGACTGGCCTGGCTCCTTTTAGAGGATTTCTGCAAGAAAGGATGGCACTAAAAGAAGATGGAGTAGAGCTAGGTCCATCTTTGCTCTTCTTTGGGTGTAGAAATAGGCGAATGGTGAGACTTGTTAGTTGTTTGCACCTTCTTCATTTGCAGTGCCATCAGTATGTTGACCTGCTGTTATATGTATGACTTGCAGGACTTTATCTACGAGGATGAACTCAATAACTTTGTTGATCAAGGCGTAATCTCTGAGCTCATTGTAGCATTCTCTCGTGAGGGAGCACAAAAGGAGTATGTTCAACATAAGATAATAGAGAAGGTAAGCATCAGCATCAGGCTTTGGGAGAACATAATCTCATTTCTCATTTGCATTTTCGTTTTGTGTGCAGGCAACACAAGTATGGAATTTAATAAAAGAAGAAGGATATCTCTATGTATGTGGTGATGCTAAGGGCATGGCAAGAGATGTCCACCGGACTCTACATTCCATTGTTCAGGAGCAGGTATGAATGAGCATTGTGGAACAAGTAGTAAATTTTGGGTTTTCTCGTCTCGTTTTGGTTGATAAGATTGATACCAACAATATTTTTATCTTACAAATTTCCAGGAAGGAGTGAGTTCGTCAGAGGCAGAGGCTATAGTTAAGAAACTTCAAACTGAAGGAAGATACCTCAGAGATGTCTGGTGATTTTGCTGATGTTTTAGTTGGATTCCCCACTTCTTTTTTGAGCTTTTTGGTAGGAAGGCTGTTTTTACCGTTTAGATGTTTATTTTCCTTCTCTCTCATAAACAATACTTAGAAAAAGTGACTATTATAAACGAAAATGTGAAATTGCATAATCATAAAAAAAAAAATCAGTTCATTCCTGAGACATTGATTGATCAGCCTTCATATTTACCTATTCTGAAATGGTTCGAATGAATGTGCTACCGCAAGACATGAACTAGTGAGACAAGATTGCACATCTTAAAGTTTAAATCATCCGAACAACGTCAAGACTCGAGAGGGATACTAAAATTCCATGGAGGTATTTTCACTCTCCAGATTTATTGGACTGTATAGTCGTTTATCACTTTACTACATTTGTTTCATACAAACACACTTTTGACAAATCTTTAATCTTTGACTATTGTAAGCAAGAAAATGAGACAGAAGAAAGATAAATAAACAAATAAATATCTAAATGGTGAAAAAAGCCTTACTATAAATCTTTGAAAAAGGGGCAGAGAATCCCAAACAAAACATCATCAATCACCAGACATCTCTGAGGTATCTTCCTTCAGTTTGAAGTTTCTTAACGATAGCCTCTGCCTCTGACGAACTCACTCCTTCCTGGAAATTATAAAAGTATAGCTGGTATCAGTCTTCCAAGGGATTCACAACCAAGAGAAACCCAAATTCTACCACTTGTTTCACAATGCTCATTCATTACCTGCTCCTGAACAATGGTATGTAAAGTCCGGTGGACATCTCTCGCCATGCCCTTAGCATCACCGCATACATAAAGATATCCTTCTTCCTTTATCAGATTCCAAACTTGTGTTGCCTAAACACAAAATGAAATGCAAATGAGAAATGAGATTACTGTACATTCCTCTTTTCCCAAAGCCTAAGGATCCTTGGATATGCATACCTTCTCTAGTATCTTATGTTGAACATATTCCTTCTGTGCTCCCTCACGAGAGAATGCCACAATGAGCTCAGAGATTACGCCTTGCTCAACAAAGTTATTGAGTTCATCCTCGTAAATAAAATCCTGCAAGTCATACATATAACAGCATGTCAACATACTGATGACACTGCAAATGAAGAACGTGAATAGATTGTAATAAGTCTCACCATTCGCCTATTTCTACATCCAAAGAAGAGCAAAGATGGACCTAGTTCTACTCCATCTTCTTTTAGTGCCAACCTTTCCTGCAGAAATCCTCTAAAAGGTGCCAGCCCAGTCCCAGGTCCAACCATAACAACTGGAGTTGAAGGGTTGGATGGTAACTTGAAATTAGAAGCTCGAATAAAGATTGGTGCTCCACTACATTCACGACTTTTTTCCGCAGGAACTGCATTCTGAGTTTTTTAAACGCTATTACAAACAAAAACAAAAACAACAACAAAAAGCGAACTAAAAGAAGTGAGAAAAATGAAGGTGAGGATTACCTTCATCCACGTAGAACACAACCCCTTGTGGATTCTACCAGTAGGAGTTGGACCGTATACTAGTGCGCATGTAACATGAACTCTATTTGGCGCCAACCTGTTTTACAAAAATAAAGCGAGATTGTGGATGACATAAAATCTTTCTCCCTTCTGCCAACAACTGATGTCTCAAAACTAAACAATCACCTCGGAGAGGATGAGATGGAGTAGTATCGAGGTTGTAGACGAGGAGCTATTGCAGCAAAAAACACACCTAGTGGGGGTTTTGCAGATGGAAATGCAGACATCACCTCTAAAAGACTTCTTTGGCTCGCAACAATCCATTGTGAGTATTCATCCTGGATCCAAAAAAAAAACAAAGATGTTAACTCATGACAACTTAAAACAAAGAGAAACAATAAGATATACAGCAGTGATTCAGAACCTTTCCATCAGGTGATGTCAGATGTTTAAGCTTCTTGGTTTCGTTTGGTTCAGTGGCATAGGCTGCCAAAGCAGCTAACGCAGACTGTACCAAAAAAAAAAAACCAAGTTTAGTTATTGGGAACAAACAAAAACCAACTCAACCAGCAAAAAGGTGTGTGATACAAATAGAAGTTAACCTTTCGAGGAGGGTTCAAAAGGTCTGCGTATTTTGCCAAAGCAGTACCAAGTGTACATGGACCAGGGAAGGGAGGCGGCAACGAGCTTCCAAGTGGTGAGCCATCTTCCTTATCAGCATGTATTGAAAATACTAAATCTAGAGAGTGGCCAAGCAATTTTCCAGCTTCTTCAACTATTTCAACATGATTCTCTGCATATACTCCTACATGGTCTCCTGTTTCATATCTGTACAGAGATGCCATTACTTTTTAGTATACACAACGATCAGCTGTTAACTAAAGCATCAAAAGATTGAATTTCTAGTATAATCCCAGGTCAGATCAATAATCATACGAGGAAATAAAAAGTCTATGCAAGTCGAAATAACTGTGCAGCCTTGTAACTAATCCAAGCATAGGAGGCAGTAACTACAGCTCAGAGTTAGATACTTACGTAATACCAGTGCCAGATGTGTCGAACTCGAAATGAATACATGACCGATCAGATTCTGGTGTGTGAAGCTCCCTCTGCACAGCAACATCAGCTCTGTTTCCAATAAGAAACAAATTTTAGAATGCACCCAAAGTGTAAACACTGAACCAGTATATATTACACGGATCTTCATATACCTGCGTGGATGATGAATGTCAATAGTAGCATTTCCGTTGGCAACACTCGACTCCATTGATTTATCAGATATAAAACTAGGATCATGGATCACCAGCCGGTACTCAGGAATAGCAGCTGTATATGGAGTTATCACACTTGTATCATCTTCGTCTCTGAGGATCTTGTCTAGCTCAGGCCATAGAGATTCTTTCCTAAACAATCGAATGAATAATACAGAGTGGAGGTCAAATAATCTCTCACTGCAAACACAACTAGACAAGCCAACTATGAAGCTTCCCCTTCTATACTAATGGGGGTAGAACTTAGAAGCACTAAAGAAAGTCTATCAAAGTAGCAAACCTAAGACAGAGGATCAGAAACAAACCAGGCATTAAAATCATCCTCAATGCTTTGATCATCATCTCCTAGACCAACTTCAATTAGACGCTTTGCACCTGCATTGAATGTGACGACAACAATTACGGTTTCTCTCATGCACCATAGAGACTAGTAAATGGGCATCCAAGTTACCAGACAAGAATATAGAAAAGCTTCAGTATGATTATCATCCTAGGTAAGCATCACACTTATAGCTCCTATAGTTACTTCACTAGCATTAGATACGACTTGAAAGAAAACTATGTAAACATACTCATGTACCTTTCTTAGAGAGCTCTTCATCAAGAACTATCCCGATCTGTTTCCAGGAAATCAAACTAACATTAGCTAAGGCCGGAATAAAATCTAAAAGCTAGAAGCAGACACATTTTCTTCCCAAAGTACCTTATTAAAATGTTCATATTGGCGATTACCAAGAGCAAATACACCATATGTTAATTGTTGAAGCCTTATATCGCCTTCAGTTCCCTGGAAACATGAAACAGGACAAACATCCGTAAGAAATCTACACAGAGCTTATCAATTCTGAGGAAAATAAAATTTCGATTTGATGTGTTGCAAACCTCCGTAAACCACTTGTAAAATCTAGCAGCATTGTCAGTAGGTTCTCCATCTCCATAACTAAACAAATTATTAAACAAATGAATCCAACAAACTCTTGAAGAGAATACAGCAAAAGAAAACATTAATAGATTGGAATATGTCTTACGTAGCGACGCAAAAGAATGACAAAGTTTCCTTCTTAAACTTCTCTGCATACTGGTCGTCATCGGCAGCATAGTCATCCTAATCAATACCATTAATGAACCAACAACAAAAGAAGAAAATAAAATCAAGTGATACCGTTTAACAAGAAATGAATAGATCAAAAATGCAAGTAAATGATACCAAGTCAATGACTTTGACTGCAGCTTTTTCATATCTCGCTTTGATTTCTTCTGCCAATGCCTATGAAAAATGAAAATGTATTCATAAATACCAAACCTTTGAATCAATATGATGGATCAAATAGCAACTTTGAGCAGTTGTAGATAAACCCTATTCAAAAGACAGAAAGCCACATCCAACATCTAGAGCTAACCGAGTCAAACTGAATCATAAAAATCACAGCTTTTTACTCACACAGACACTAACCTTAGCAAACCCTTCAGCGGTTCCAGTCTGAGTACCAAAGAAGATAGAGACTCTACTCTTCCCTGATCCCAAATCCAAATCATCCTCCTCCTCGTCCTTAGCCATAAGAGACTTGGGAACCATCAAAGGCTTCAGCTCCTGGCTCTGCTCCGACGTCGTTTTCCTCCATACCAGCACCACGAACCCAACTACAAGTGCCAAACACGTGGTTGCAATCACAAGAACAACGTCGTCAGACACCGAATCGCCTAGAAAGGCTCCCAAGATTGACTTGACGTCCTTAAACACACCGGAAGCGTACAAAGCAGAACTCATCTTCTTCTTCTGATGCTGACTTTGAGATAGATTGAATCTCCTCTCTATCCCAGGACGGAAGAATCGGGAGAGATCGAAGAGGAAGAAGGTAGGAAGACAGTTGAATCTGAGTGGGGCCCTTCCTTGTCCTTTTCTTATGTTATGACTTTTGACTTTCCCACTTTAGTTTTTTTGTCAACAAATCTCCCACTTTAGTTTTGTTTTTGTTTTTCTTCTTTATTACATTGTCAAAATTGTTAAATCCGGAAAAAAATAGATTTACGTGATTCGATATTTATATAATTAATATTTTTCCATAACATGACCACCTTTGTTATAAAAATGCATGGTTCCAAAATTTGGTATAGGCAATATCTAGACATCTGTTTGAACAGCAAACCAATTATAACCGAAATTATATTTTTAAAATCTGATTTATATCACTCAAATCAGTTTGAACATACTTATAAGTTTAAACCGTTCTATATATTTGTTTAAGCAATTAGATTGTGGTATGATTTGAACAGAATTGCCAGAATAATTTGATTCTAAGGCAAGATGAAGTTGTACGGAATTGCCTGTTTAAACCTATTCAGATCAATTTAATGTTGCTTTGATAATTTGATTCTAAGGCAAGATGAAGTTTCAAATTTGTTGGTATGCCATTTTAGGTATTTCTTGACAAACAACTTTATTTATTTAAGTTGTGCAAGTTTTCATTATTGGAGAGACAACTATTAGCGATGAAGACAATGCGTTGAGGAGTACATTTAACCAAAAAAAGTTATTGAAAATGATTGATTGATTCATTAGAGAATCTGCAATGTAGCATTGTGTTTTTTAATTCTAAAATTAAGTTATTCAATTATAAAATTGACAATTAACTTTATTCCAATGCTATTTCATTTTAGAATAAAAATGAAGTCACGAACAAAAAAAAAAAAATTACTAACCTCATCTTTCACTACATAATGAAAAAAAAATAAACATGATTAGAATTTTGTATTCAATACTCCGAGAAAAAGAATGGAATTAGACTTGGTCTTATATCATATTGGTTGAATTATCAACCTAAAGAACAAATATTTTTTAGTTTAATTTGATTTCTTTTTTTTTGAATAGTGTTAAATTCATTAAAAAAAACTGTTGTACAATGTCTGTTACTCTGTCTAAGTGTTTTTAGAAACTAAAAACTTAAGATTTTGACTTTCACAAAGAAAATCATCGAAAAGAAAACCACATCTCCATTGCTTTTGAATACTTCTGATTCTCCATCATTCGTATACTTGAGATTCGATTCTGAACAAGCTTGTCAACTTGCTTAACCAATACCGCATGGGAGTTTGACCTATCACCATGCCGCCTCCCATTTCTTTCATACCAAATGGTTGATAGTTTAATTTGATTTCAATGCTACAGGTTTTAGATTTTATAAAATAATCTTGTGTTTAACTACTTCTACTATTTTAGGTTTGTAAATTTTAGATCTTTCAATTAAAAGAATGATAGATCTGAAATTGGTTGGATTTTTGTCCCTATCTTAGTGGAAATGGCACCTAAAGTGTCCGATAATAAATCTTCACATATTATATGTATAAAAAATGGTTCACGTTTTGGTTTTAAACATATACATTCCAAACGTGAAAATGGTTACATATGAAGCAATTTTTAATAAATCAAAATGAGAAAACAATGAGAAAATTATGGCTTGGTTGTGTTGTTGAAAGACTAAAATACCATAATTTAATGATATATATCTTTGAAAAAACAGTGGCACAAGAAATAATAATTAGGATTTAAAAATCTTTAGTCTAAAAGAACATGAGCCAAATGAAGAAAAAATCAGATCTAAAAAATTAGTTACATAGTCTATGAAAAAAATACATGAGTAATTAACATAAATATACATACCAACAAAGATTCTCACAAGTGTTCATATATAATGGAATAGTAAAAAAATATTTAGCAAAAAATAAAGAAAAAATAAAAAATGAGAAAAAAATATTTAGCAAAAAATAAAATAAAAATGAGAAAAAATAATAACCCACAAGAAAATCTATCAAATCTAGCATAATAGATTGAAAATGGAAGGTGATGTTATGATGGTGAACAGATGGGCATACACATTTATAAAGTAATAATTAATATTCGTTTTAATTGTTGCTAATTTTGTTATCATTTCTTTTCCATTTTTTACATCTGTATACCATATAGTTTTTGTCAATTCATGTTGATTAATGTTTTTTATTAACTTACTAAGACATAGTTTTATGAACCAAATCAAGAGATAAGTATGTGTGATGGAGTACTTTCCAAAACATATAAGTGGTGAAAGACGAAAAAAACTTCATGTTTTAAGAAAGCTGGTATGATTTATTTTTATGTGTTAGTGACAAAACTAACAATTGTGATTGTTTAATAGCATTTCAATCTATCTTAAACTAGAGATCCTCGGAAGGGTATTCATCTACCATGTTTAATAGTATTCTTTTTTTTTTGAGGATTTCTACTTTAAAATAGATTGTATTGCTATTACCATGAAAGAAATCTATCTTATCAACTAAAACAAAATTACAAAATAATATTTTTCTAAATTTAAATGTTTTCTTACAATTTTCATTTTTCTAATGCATTCTAAAGCTATCATTTATTATCTTTTACAAATAATTTAACAGCATTTATTACAAAAGTATATTACATATTTTAAATTGTTACATTACATTTGATTACATTATTATTTCATTTTCCTAACTATTTCATTAATTATCTTTACCATATTCTACATCACTTATTTTACATGTTAAGTATAGTAATTCGACATATTTAAATAAAATTGTTATTCATGACAAGAATTCAAACGGTTAACAAAGATTTTTTTATTTGTTTACAAAATCAGTTAAGCATAAACATTCAGATACTATTCATATACGTAATCTTATCGGTTGGTGAACCTAGAAGTTAATAAAATTGTTATATTCATGACAAGAATTCAAACGGTTAACAATTTTTTTTAATTTGTTTACAAAATCAGTTAAGCATAAACATTCAGATACTATTCAGATACGTAATCTTATTATTGATTGGTTAACCCTATGGGTGAATCCAAGAATTACTGTACTTTAATCAATTACTTAATGAAACAAATTTAAACCAATTTAGATCGATTTAAACTGATACTAGGTGATTTTCCCGTGCTCATGCACATCTATGAATACTTTTAAAGTAAATATATAATAATAATTGATTACTATTTATTTTTAATTTTAAAATAATTTATAATTTGTAAGCATCATTTATATTAATAATATTATATTACTTTAATTATTTAGTAATATTATATATGTTATATCTAGTCGATTTTGTTGTTTTTACGGTTGATTTAGTTATCATTTGGATAAATTGGATTACATCTCTGAATTCAACTGTAATATTTTTAAATTATATTAAATAAATATATATATATATAATATTTAATATATCTAGTTTATTTATACTTGAGTATATTATATTTCATCTACTTTCAACCCTAATATCTTTTTTGTCAAAATAAATTAACATTTTGGTTTTTTTATTTATTTTACTTTGGGTTGACTGTTCGCTTAAATATATTTTAGTGAGATTTTGTATAACATAATATTTTTTTTTTTGAGAATACAATAGATGAAATAAACTAAAATGTGGATTGATTAAAGATTACATAAAACAATATAAACATTATATTTTGAATCTCATGCATATATATTTTACAAAAGAGATAAATTGTTAAAATTATTTAATATTTTATTTTTATTTTATTATGTTTTGAGGTATCTATAATTTATATGTAGAAAAATAACAAAGTATCAATATAAGATAATCTGTTTTATTTTCTTATTTTTATTAATAGCATGATTATGTTTGTTAATTTTCCTTTTTATGTAATCAAATTATATAATGTTATTAAATTTTCGTTTTTTTTTAAAAAATATTATTTTTCCTTATTATTATATGTCTTATTGGGAAAAAACAATAAGGAAATTAAATTAAAATCTAATTAAAAGAAATTATCAAATAAAAAGGAAAATAAATTAAATGCGATTAATATAAAAATCATATTAATATTATATTTCAGGTAAATATATTTTAGTGAGATTTTGTATAACATTATATTTTTTTTTGAGAATCCAATAGGTGAAATAAACTAAAATGTGGGTTGATTAAAGATTACATAAATGAATATAAACATTATATTTTAAATCTCATGCATATATATTTTACAAAAGAGATAAATTGTTAAAATTATTTAATATTTTATTTGTATTTTATTATGCTTTGAGGTATCTATAACTTATATGTAGAAAAAGAATAAAATATTAATATAAAATAATCTGTTTTTATTTTCTTATTTTATTAATAGAATGATTATGTTTGTTAACTTTCCTTTTTATGTAATCAAATTATATAATGTTATTAAATTTTCGTTTTTTAGATTATTTTTTCCTTATTATTATATGTGTTATTAGGGAAAAAAGGAAATTAAATTAAAATCTAATTAACAGAAATTATCAAATAAAAGAAGGAAATTGCATTAAATGTAATATTTGAATTCATTAAGGGTACCTATGTAATCAACCATCGCAAGAGTTAATGTGAGCGCGACACGTAGAAAACTGACTTCTCAAATAATATTATAGAGATATAACCGTTTAATCCGACTTAAATCACATAAATCAATATCTTAGATTATAAGATAATCGATTTGGGCTACGGCTGATTTACTATAACATTGGTATAAAGATTACTATGTAAACTGACCAAATTTTTTTTACTTGTAACAAAACAGGAAAAAGAAAAAGCTTAAGCTGCTTTGCACATACAATCAGGAGCCGGATAAGTGTAAATAGACTGTTTCTGTTTCCGTAAACGAAGCTGGCCTTTCCTGTTCTTGTGCCCATTCACAACTGCTCCTTCAAAATCAGACCACCCTAAGCTCTTGTTCACCAAAACCTGTCCCAACAGTATCATGTTTGGGTTTATTGTCTTCAGGTTCAAATACGCTCTATGCGCAAGCAATGCGTTGTGCATATTCCCTGGAGACGCAGAGATGAAGATATCACTCTTCATGCTCACGTAGTAATCCACTGCAGCCATCAATGAAGCTTTCCCTTCTACCTCAGCTAGCTCCTCCGGAGATGCTAGGCTTTTCTTGTTTTCCAACACCGGGAAGAGTTTACGCAGGGTAGAGATTCTTGCTTCTCCTCCGTAAACCTGGTGTGAAGCTAGATAGAGACGGGTGTTGTTGGTGAAACCCAAAGCTGAAAGAAGTAGACCAATCTCTTCAGGTGTTAACGGACAACGCCCTTTGTTTCTTAGCTCTTCGTCTGTGAACTGTGAGTTTAAGACTCTTCCTTGCCAAATCACTTGGCGGTATTTCGCTAGTGCCAGTTTCTCAGCCTTGCCACCTCCAAAGTCACATCCTGAATGAGCAGCCATATCCTGGGAGAAAAGAAGATAAAAGCTATGTCACAACCAGAAACTACTGCTAAGAAAATGATGAAGATCACACTAACTTTATCGAAGCGAAGATGAAGCACGACGAACTTTCCAGCTCCAGCTTTTACAATGGTGTTTACTCTATCTGTTGGATCCATAGTTCCTGATGTTTTAGAGCTGGAAGGGGGGTTTCTGAGCCGATTCACAAGAGCATCCCCAAGCTCACGAATGCTAGGAACAAAGTTCAATGCTTCAAAGTTCACTTTACAACGTAACCGTTGTATACTTTCAGGAACATTGTCAAACCCCAAACGGTGAGAGAACGGGGCAACAGCAGCGATGCCATAACTACAGAAAGAAGAAGAGAGGGGATTGCGATTCATACTAGTAACAACAATGCAGTGATGTAGTGAGTTAGGAAGACACAAACCTTTGGATAACAGGCAAGACATTCTCCACATACCACTCTGCAGAAGCTTGATTAGGCGCAGTCTTAATCCTAGTAGCTCGAATACCTGTTGCGTAATAATCACGCGTGCTCCAAGCGTATTGTGTAGGAAGCTCTCTAACAATCCGCACCTCGTCTTTAAGAACACTTATAAAGTGATCCACATCGAAAATATCTGCAAACGAACTGCAAAGAAAAGCCACAAAACGAATCAACCAATCTCATCTAGGAACCAGCAACTTAAGTAGACTTTTAGAGTTACCTAGAATCTTGCCAAACAGGATTAACTTCAAGACGTGGAATCACAAGCGTAACGTTAAGTATCTTAGTAACAGCAACCGCATCACATATCTCCAGAAACAAATCGAAAGAGAGGTCTAGTAAAATTGACTGAAAGTGGATATAAACCTCTATGTATTAATAAAGAAAGTAGATTATACTAACCCCCATTCTTTGTTGATTAAGTCCACCGTCAAGGAACACTTGAAGAAACCCTTGAGACTTCTCAGGCAAGGCTGTAAAGAGTGACAAATTCCATTACTATGCGCTAAACGCAATAAATAATCAAATAAGGAAGCTTACGAGAGCCTCTATAAGAGTCAGGGCAAGGCTTCCAAGCTTGATCTGGCAAGGGAGAGCATAACTCCACTTGTTGTCTGATAGACTGAGAACACAATAAAACGTTCAGAGAAACGAACAAAGCAAAGACCTTTTTCATCCATTTATAACAAAAAAAAAATTGAGAGAAAACTAACTAACAATTTGTCGATCAAGAGCACCTTCGAGTAGACGCAAATGTCTAGGCCTTGGCGCATTCCATTCCTGCCAGAATGAAAATTAAACTTCTGTTAATATATATATATATGAAATTGAAGACATGGGACAAAGATACTTATTGAATCTATCGGAGAGTAAAGACTTACGGAGAAGAGAGAAGGAAACGAGCGACCAAGAGGGCGGAAGAGATTGGGAGAGAAGATTGGGAAGAAGAGGGAGAGAACGCCAGCGAGAGCTATCCTCTGCGACTGGTTTAGGCTCTGAAGTTGCTTCATTTTGTGAATTGATTCTAACGATGAAGAGAGGAGTTATGTCGAGAAAAACTCAGCGACGATTGAATAAAGGAACAAACTTTTTCAGTGTGTGTTATGTTTTTCATCCAGAGCTTACTTGAAGATCTACGAAGAGCGATCCAAAATCTCAGGACATGAAGACAGAGTTGATACTTGTAGGCGGAGGTAGAGACACAAAGTGTTCGATCTCTGGAGTTTTGAGGAGTTTTCTTCAGGAACTAAAGAAAAAAAAAACAATATCAAGCAAAAATAAATTAATTAGTTAAAATGAATAAATAGAAAACCGGGACCCACATAAGAGACCATTTTAATCTCATGTGGCCGGAGGCTTCGAACACGGATCCTTTGGGTGCCACATTGCCATATTTTGCTTAATCTAAACCTACTTGGCTTTGGCATTAGACTTGAATGGAGTTCAGGGCCGGCCCTCTGGGGCATGCCTAATGAAACATTTGTTTCAGTTTCCAAAAATTTTTGAAGAAAATTACATCAGTATAGACCCCCAAAAATTATTTTTAATCCTCCAAAATCTTTTTTACATAGAAACCGTCACAAACCCTCAAAATCTCAGAACCGGCCCTGATGAAGTTAAACAGATTTTGACGTAGAAATGGTAACGTTTAGAAAACTATAATAACCCAATGACCTTCTATTTATCGATAAATTGATTATACACCAAAGTTCCCAAAATATACCATCAAGAATAGCATAATGGTGTTTGTTGCAAACGGACGTTTATAAACAAACTTTAAGAAACACATGTTAATCCTTGTTAAAGATAAATAATCAATTAAAAGACAATAGCAGATCCATTGATTTTTCTTTGTTGCAAAATAGTTTTAGAAAAGTAAGACAAACACAATGTGAGAAGCTTGCTCACGTTCACATGCATTTCCAATTTTGTTCAACATTTATTCAAATGAAAGAAAGTGAAAGGAAGATTTGGAAGATTGTTTCATCTCATCCAAGTCAAACTCTGCTGCACTCTTCTTTCTCCGATTCATTCCCAAGAGGGAAACCTAATTAAGAAAAAGAAACCAAACAAGATAAGAACAATTCATATGTATTCACATATACATTAACTGAAAATATCTTCACTGGAATTATTTTTACCCAAGCTTAAGGGAAGTATCAGAGAAGTCATCTTCAAGGGGAGCTCCACTCTCATAGCTTGACACATTTGTGGTGGCTGACTCTGTCTCCACAGCCTCCTTTAGCGCCATCGTTTTAGCCATTTCCAACGTCACTAGCTAATATGTGTGTTAATATAATGATTCAGAATACTATTATATGAATATGGAAATGGTTTCTATGAAGGGTAATGTTAATATAATGATTCAGAATACTATTATATGAATATGGAGATGGTATCTATGAAGGGTATATAGCCATACTTGCTCCCTCAGTCTCCTATTCTCATCCACCAACTCTGATCCCTGCATGTGTTCACCTCACTTATTAATATGCACACTTACACTTACACGAATTGTACATACTAACCCGTTTCTCAAGTGAAGATATCTGGCTCATCACACACTCGCCCTAGTTAACAACAATAACAACAATGTTACATTCCTATATATTTACACAGCTTATTGTTACTATATGTCACGTTGCAAAAATGTGCTTGTTATCAGTCTATGTTTAGTAGTAAACCTTCTTTTCAGACACACGGCTAAGTCCGGATTCAAGTGATTTCTCCAGCCTCTGCAACTCTTCTAAATTCAATCCTTCAAGATCTTCCCCTCTCAATTGTCTAGGATTACATTAGAATACCGCATAAAAACCACTTTTGTATTTTGCATTTTCAAGTTTATAACGATGATTTGGACTCACATCAGACACATGACACACGCATACAAAACTAATTAATAATATGGATATTGAAGAAAAACAATCTCACATCTAATAAGAAGAACCAAGCTAACGTCGTATAATATATATTGCTGGCTATATGAAATTTTGATAAAAAGTGAGATTATGTGTCATTTTTGAAAACTACTAAACTATTGTGTAAACTGTGGAAATAATTTTTACAACCTGATAAATAAAACATCAAAGAACCTACCCATGAAATGAAATAACTTCGTTCTCTCGAATGAAATAGATTCTAAAACATATAAATAACATTCATATGTGTTTCAAAAAAAAAATTATAACATTCATACATCATCAAACCATAAAAACCACAGATGATATAATTTGTCTCTTGCAGCTATATGAAAATTTTGTTTATCAGCATAGCATATAGATGAAGCCATACCTTAGCTGCTTAGTTTTGTCTTCGACTTCCTTACTTAGTCGGGAGAGGTTACAATTCTCTAGCTGCTAGATGCAAAGTCAATATTTTCAGGTTCTGTTACTGATATCTAGAACCATATGTAATTACATGCTTCCAAATTAATGATGCTAGTTAACTATGTAACTTCATGTCTCTATATCTGAACTTACACCAAACAACTCAAATAAACTCGCACAACAGGTGACTATTAGAGAATAATATAGAGAAAAGGGTTTATTAAAATAAAGCAGAAGAAGAGAACTGAGTGATATTCATAATGAGAATACCTGGTGATGTGGAGAAGGTGGACCCATCATTTTGTTGATGTTACTTGCATGAAGATTATACCTTCCCAATATGTCTCTCATTCTACACGTTTAAACAAACAAATCCATCTTTCATATGAAGATTTCCATCATATATGCAATTTTTAAATTAATTATATCTGAAGAATACACTAGAACCCTTTCTTTAGTTACCATAAAGAAGAAGAAATCAAAAGGAGACATCAAGTCAAAAATGTGCAGATGATATTTTATTAGATGACTCCATTACAATTATGGTGCTATATGCTTATCACAATAATTAAACGAGTGGTTAAGACTTAATCCCAATCAAATCCAAAGTGTCTGTCAAAGACTTTTATAATACATGAAATAAAGTAAAAGAAAGAGAAAAAGAAGTTCATTCTAATTGTGGTAAGTACCATGTATCCATATATACACATGCTGCATAAATCAGCACAATTACAAAAAATATTCTACTCTCCCCTTTATCATATGTCTAAATGAAAATAACTAGTAAATAACCTATACTTATGTAGTTATCTTTCATTATGTTACATATTAACGTAATTACAAGATAAGTAAGGCAATAGTAAGCTTAATTCTGATATATCAGAGAAAAGAGATAAGAGCGAGTACAATCATGTTAGGTCGTCAGAATCTTTTATTTTTCCTGCTTCAATATATATTCATCAAATTACGCAGTGACACGGAGTCGATTCCGTACATGATTTCTCCGAGCCCAAGAATAAATTATTTAAGAAAGTAACAAAAATAACTAAAACTCTCATATAATTACATATATCTTAACATAATTAATATCTCTTCAACCGTATTTTCTAGAACACAAACAAAGATTGAACAAAAAAAACGAAAGAAGATTTTTAAAATGAAAGTAGACATACCTTGAGCTAGAGAACTCAAAGAGCTTTCCAGTGGCAGAGAAGATGATGAGAGCAACATCAGCATCGCAAAGAATCGAAAGTTCATCGGCTTTCTTGAAGATTCCCCTTCTTCTCTTAGAGAAAGTAACTTGTCTCGCTGTTAGGTTATCTATCTTCTTTATCCTTATCTTCTCTCTCGCCATTTTACCCAATCTCCTTCACCACTTTTCTTGAATCTTGCCTACTCATAACAACATTTAGACCAAGAAACAAAGAAATAAAACAAAGTGGAACTGTTAGCTAAAAACGGTTTAAATAAAATTCTCAAGAAACCCTAGATGGATAGAAGAGAGAGAAAGATCAGATCCAGAAATTACTCAGAGAAGTAAAAGAAATAACAAGACTAGATGAATACATTCACAAATCTGTTTTAAGGAGAAAAGAACCAGATTCACAACTGTTACCTTTTTTGAGTGAGAGGATCTTGGATTAGGGTTTGCAATCCCAGCACCCGCTTTATTAATAATGTCTGAAGATAAAAAGTGTTTTTTTTTTCTCTTGTTTATATGCTTTTGATTCCCTAAATGTATGTGTGTGAGATAAAAGAGAGAGACGGTGACTGTGTGTTGTGTGTTCAAGATTGGAAAGATGAGTCTGCTTTTTTTAGCTAAACAGTGGTTCACTTATTAATGGACCATACGTTTTGCTTTCCCATCAGTTTCCAACATTAAAAAAATCATTAAAATATCTAACACACGTAAACTTACTTTGTGTTCTGTCTGGCAGGTTAGAGACTGCTCCCAGTTGTGATCTTAATAGCGATTTAACTTCTGATTCAAACTTAACTGGATGGCCTAGTTCCTTTCACTCGATGAACGATGAGTATATTTCGCCATGGATTAACCTGTAACTTTAGCTTAACAGTAGCAGATATTTTGTAATTCGTTATTAGTAGGTTAGGTAGATACTATATTATATCTACCTTTGGTTAGTATTTTACTATTTTATCATTAATGGTTTGTATTAAATATTCCATCTAATTCTTTCTATTGTTCATCCACACTAGATGCGACACCTGATAAAGTGATACGTATCCACCATCATTAATTGTCATTTCCTTATACGTCAGCCATTTATAACCATATTAAGTTTTAACCCTAACTAAAGTTGATCTCCGGTTACACTAAAATAATATGGTGGAGAAAAGAAGTCCAAGTCTTACTATTTTCTTGTACTACTGAAATATATAAGTGAAACTGTAAAATCTGTGGGCTTCCACTGTATAATATGATCCATTTGCGAATTCGTTGGCTCAGCTGTCGGTAGCAAAAGGTGATGATGCTGCTGATTTTTAATACTCGAAGATGTGTGAAGGTCATTTATTAGAAATACTATTTGAAGTAGATATGTCCTTGAATATGTTTTGAAGATTTCTGAGCTTTGGAAATTTTGATAAAGGAAGAATTTTTAATAAATTACTTAACGCACCATCTTGTTAGTCTTGCAAGAGATAACGGTGAGGGCACATAATTACCTAAGGCCCCATTAAAATAGCTAAGTTTTTACATATCATGTACATTAGAGGAGCAGTAAAACTGAGTCTAAATGATCAATGATGTGTTTCGAAAGAAGCAGAACTGAGTGTTTAACAATTAGGAGGTTTCAGCACCAGAATATTAGATTTGATACATTAAATATTACTTTTGAAATTAAACATTTTCTCTTTTAATGCTCTAAAATTCCCATAAGAAAAGAAGATGACATGGGCCCATATTACTGTACTAAAAATGGGCCCATCAACGAACAAAGGGAATCCATCCATAACCTCAAAAAGACCCATGACATGAACCTTCCGACTCGTGAAGAAGCTTTACGATAACGACAGCAATTGCTTAAAAAAAAACGTGAACCAACCAGACCAGACACACAGTCACGAGACCGATCGGCGATCAGCTGTCCGAAACCAAATTCGCCGGTGAACAATCAGGAAAAGGATGATGATCTCTCAGTTCTTCGTCTTATCCCAGCGAGGAGATAACATCGTCTTCCGTGACTGTAATCTCTCTCTCTATCTCTCTCTCTTTCGATCTAATTGTCACTGTTTCGTTAGAAGTTATCCCTTAAAGCTGCTCTAAGCTCATTGATCTGTTTGATCTACCACCATTTCTCATCAGTTCACATATATGTTTACCCGAATTTCCTATCAGATTTAACGATTTGATAAAACTGTATCCGATCAGATCTTCTTGCATCAAAGTTAGTTTCTTTCTTTTTGCCGGAGAAACCCATTAGATGATACTATTTTTTTTAGTAGAAGAACCTTCGCATTTGATTTGATTGGATCCACTAGCATTTCTGAAAGATGTGTAACGTTTTATTGGTACAGACCGAGCTGAGGTACCCAAAGGAAGTACAGAGACATTCTTCCGTAAAGTCAAGTTCTGGAAGGAAGATGGTAATGCAGAGGCACCACCTATCTTTGTAGGTACCCTTGTACTAATAATTATGACAAAACATTACTTTTTTTTTTAATGAAAATGAATTGTCTTTCTTTGGAATGTCCTAATGGAACTGTTAGTGTTGATCATTCTTTATGTTTGGTTCTGAACTCTAATGGGTTTTTATCTTAACTCTTTTTTTTGGTTGTGCTGTATAGAATGTAGATGGTGTGAACTACTTCCATGTCAAGGTTGTTGGTCTATATTTTGTTGCGACTACGAGGGTTAATGTTTCACCGTCTCTGGTCTTGGAGCTTCTACAAAGGATTGCTCGTGTTATCAAGGATTACCTCGGAGTTCTGAATGAAGATTCTTTCAGGAAAAATTTTGTGCTCGTGTACGAGTTGCTTGATGAAGTCATTGTAAGTCTCATCAAGATACATTTTTTCATCATTAACACGGTATGTTAGTTGCAAGTTTTACAAAATATGACACTGTGCTCCTTTTGATTAGGATTTTGGTTACGTGCAAACTACATCAACGGAGGTTTTGAAATCTTACGTATTCAACGAGCCAATTTTGATTGCTCCTGCACGTCTTCAACCTATCGATCCAGCTGCCATCTTCACTGTAAGATTGGTTTTCTTTCTCCGCCTTGTGTTGTATGTGGCTGACCCCTTGAATTAATGATATGCAGCAAGGAGCCAAAAGGATGCCTGGAACAGCAGTTACAAAATCGGTTGTAGCTAATGATCCTAGTGGTCGGAGAAGAGAGGAAATTTTTGTGGACATCATTGAGAAGATCAGTGTTACTTTTAGTTCAAGCGTGAGTTTTCTAGTTATTATATCACGAAGGCTCTATCCTTCTTGCCTCATCAAACGGTTTATTTCAGCAGATCAACACTATGCATTATGTCCTGATAATGTAGCTGCATCTTTATGTTATTATTCTTTGTGGAAATTGCCCTTAATTTTCTGATTGCTGAACAGGGTTACATACTGACTTCTGAGATTGATGGCACCATTCAAATGAAGAGTTATCTTTCTGGTAATCCGGAAATTCGTATAGCTCTTAATGAAGACCTAAACATTGGAAGAGGAGGAAGATCAGTATATGGTATTGCTCGTTTCACCCCCTTTAAAAATAAAATATTGTTATCTAGATAAGAAAAATACGTCGTATTTTATCTTGTTTCACTCTCTGTGAAATCTTGGTGTCTGTTTCCGTGACATTTGGGGGTTGATAATGGTTGTATATGAACTAATCTGCATGATTCACTTATAGGATTCCTTCATAACCCATTCTTTAAAATTTACTACTACCTTAGCATTTTTCTGCCTCTTTGAGGCACATCAGTATCAAATCCATACACATAAAGTGGGTTTGATCTAGTATTACGGTCTAACACTTCGTAAAATCACAACTGAAGTATAACTTCATTCTTTTCTTTGCAGACTATAGGAGTTCTTCAGGATCAGGGGTGATACTTGATGATTGTAACTTCCATGAGTCTGTTCGTCTTGATAGCTTCGATTCGGATAGAACTTTGTCTCTGGTGAGCTACATAAAATTTACCACATAATACACGTTGTCATAACATGTTGTTTTTCTCTTTAACTTGCGTTTCGTTTTCAGGTTCCACCAGATGGTGAATTTCCTGTTATGAATTACCGTATGACCCAAGAGTTCAAGCCTCCTTTTCATGTTAATACCCTGATTGAGGAGGCCGGACGCCTTAAGGTACAATCACATGTGTACACATCTTCTGAACTAATATAAATGTCTGAATTGCTCTATAGTTTTCAATCTCAGTGCTTAATTCGAATATCTCTGCTTGCTGAAATTTAGGCTGAAGTGATTATTAAAATACGCGCTGAATTCCCTTCAGACATAATTGCAAACACGATTACTGTCCAGATGCCATTGCCAAATTACACTTCCAGGTACATAACTTTTTAGTTGGTACGCAAAAATGCGTTTTCCATAAATGTCAGTCATGGTAAATTTCGAATCAAACAAGAGATGGATTCAAAATAATATTATGTTTGTTGTAACAGGGCTAGTTTTGAATTGGAACACGGTGCGACTGGACAGAAGACAGATTTCAAGGAAACCAACAAATTGCTTGAATGGAATTTAAAAAAGGCAAGTGTTGAATCGTTTGCTAATTTAGGTATATTGAAAGATTGTACTGTGTTTCCGTAAGCTAACTGTGGTCTTTTAGATTGTTGGTGGGGCTGAACATACACTGCGTGCAAAGCTGACATTTTCACAAGAGTTCCATGGTAACTTTTAAGACAAAAGTTTTCCTTATTTGTTTTCTAAGAGAAAGGTAGAGCATTGTTGGTAAAAATTCTCCATTTCGTTTTAGGTAATATCACAAAGGAAGCAGGGCCGGTTAGCATGACTTTCACCATACCGATGCACAATGTTTCTAAACTCCAGGTGAGTAAAATACCAGTGGTTAGTTTTCTTGCATTTTCATGAACCGTCCTCTTCACTTATATGTGATGAATTGTGTAATGCAGGTCAAATACTTGCAGATAGCAAAGAAGTCTAGCACTTACAACCCGTATCGTTGGGTGAGATATGTGACACAGGCCAATTCGTACGTGGCTAGGATATGATCTACTTTCAGATAATGTTTGTCACTTGTATGTCACTCAAAGATGATCCTTCACAGTACGTGCTGAATGTTGTCTCTTTATTTGTGGATTTTTTTTTTACATATTTTCTTCGTTTTTTCTCTACCCTGGAAACATGAATCTGAATGAAACATATTCCAATTTATGGAAATTGCAACGAAATAAAAGTGCAACGTTGAGACACTTGTTAATAGTAGTTTAATACACATTTGTGTACACAATTAGATAAGATTAGATTTACTACTCAGTTATTAATAACAATCACAACAACTTTATTAACAAAAGTAAATTCCGTTCCATTAAGGTGGTACATCTTCATGGGCAAAATCTCTCTTCCCCACTATACACTACTATATATACCACTTCTCAGTAACAACTTCCCACCAAGCCTAAAAGGTTTGTTATAAAACCAACCCTTCTACGTATGTAATCTACTTTGTTATACTACATTAACTTAGTTGAACCAATCGACAAAAAAACAATCGCTTCCCTTACCTCTCTCCTCCCACTGGCAAATGATTATGTCTGGAGGCTCGGCAAGTGACTGGAGAATAGCGACTTGAGTCACCAAGCGGCGAGTGCCTTGTGAAGGGAGGAGAAGGCGAGGAAGAGGATGATGTTGGAGAGGGAGCCTCAGACTGTCCGTGAGCACGTCCTTGATGATCTCCAAAAATGAAGTCAGCGAAGTCGTCCATGCTTGTACTGTCTGTGCTACAAGAGCATTCATCTGAGTTGCTGTCAAAGAGAGAAGAACTGTCACTCGACGAGTCCTCTTCTAAAATTCTCTGCAGCCTCTGGAAGCTGGAATAAAACGACTGTATATTGCCAGATCGGTCGCCACCGGGAGTGTTGGAAGAACACACAGGAGTTGCGGAAGACACAGGCCGTGACACAGTAGTCTTAGGTACCGGTGGCACACTGCATTTCTTTTTGGTGGATGCTTCATTTTTATTACAGACTACTAATCTTGGAGGTATTGGAGAGCACCTGTAGTCAGTTCGCGTAAGTAACCAGATCGAGTATAATCCCCAATCTTTAAGAGCGTTAGAGAGACATTATCGTATTTATTTACCTTGCGTAGAACAACATATACGCTCCCTTGGTCAAGACCCTTTCAATATCAGAAGTTACCACCTGAAAATAATCAATGCACAGAAGATTCAAACATCGAAACATCCACAAATGATGACGAGAAGAGACCAGCTAATGAGTTAGAAGCCAACGCTTTTTCTCTCACAAAACTAACCCCAACACTTTTCGGACTATGATGAAGATAGAACAAATCCAATGGAACCAGTTAAATATCCTAATTAGAATATAAGAATTCATAATCCAAAAGGGAGGTGAATACTATCTAGTGACTTATCTATTCAAAATTAAGAAAACTAATCACTGAAAAAAGGAGCAGCAAAACACTGTAGCAGACTAACATGTTGTCAGACTAGTAGGAAACTCCTAGTGACTTCCAAATTTTAAAAGATAACAAACTCAAGTAAACAGCTTATTTGGAAACTAATTGACAAACAGCATTTGTATTGAAAAGATATGAGCATCTTACCGTATTATCATCAGCCTTGTACCACTTGTTTTGGCTGTTTCTAATATAGCAGACATAGTGTCCAGAAAATGCTGCATTCATTACATCCAAGTGAACAATAACTCCATAGAGTTTGTAGTCATGTGATTTTTCACTTCCACCGCTGACATATGGAGCCAAATCCAGCGTTTCTGGAAACCTGACCAACTTATTGAGCTTCCCAAATTTCCCTGACTGCTAAAAAATTAAGTGTCCTGAAACTGTGAGCAAACAAGAGAACACAGATGGACTCAACAGAAACAAACTGTGTAACCACTGAAGATAGAAGTTACCTGGAACCGTTTTAGTGCAATCGTAAGGACATTCGGAGGCTCTGTAATTTTCAGTTTCTTTTTGGCTCTCTCATAGGATTTACACCTGCTCACACACAGAAAAAACCATTGCCAGAATAAGAGGTTGCAGTTGCAGAACCATATAAATAGCTCATGTAGAACTCTAATCATCCATATAACAAGGAAAGAGAATTGGAAGTATCAAACGACCACAATAATGTGAAAAGAAAATGCTGACCCACCTGCCACATTTGTATTTGTTTTCTCCATCCAATAGTTCAGTTCTTGTAAACCGACGCAAAGCATCCTCCAAGGTGCTAATATCACCATCAATCTCGACCGTTAGATCCATCATTTTCTCACGCCGCTCAGATTTTTCTTGACACTTCATGCATTTAATCTGCCGGACATCATAGTTGTCTCAAACGAATCAGCATTACTACTCCCTCTAAAACAATGTATGAGTCATATGTAAGTGTGATAGGTAACAATACCTTTGAACGGAGGTATCCGCCAAAAGTCAAACCAATTAGAGTTGTATCTTCTAGTTTCCTAGTCTTTGGCATATCGTACTCAGATGCCTTAATACACACTGACTGCATTGTGTCGACAACAATCCTGCAAAAGACAAGAAAAAAGAAACAAACATGAAATCAAAACAAGATTCTTCCCACTGTAATATAAATAATGCACCAGAGAATTTTTGATTGCAGAAATGTCAGTTCACCTAAGGAATTCATGTGCATCCTCTTGCTTGCCATTCCCAAGAGAGATTCCAATATCTTGCAGCTGTGACAGCAACCCACCGGGGGACAATGACGACTTGCATTCTGTTGCCTTTAAGACCAGGTTCTCAAACCCACATGTGAAGCACTGTTCTTTGTTTGGACCTAATAGTTAAAACGACCTATTTAGAGCTTATTATAACAATTACAACAAACATAGAATCCCAGAATAAGTAGCATCTCTCATATAGAAAAGAAAATAACAGAGACCAGAGACACACATGCTCTAGAATGATGTTGCTGGAGGAAGTATGTGGTCAGGGGAGGAGTGAACATCAGGCATTGGAAGACGACATTAGCAAAGCAGCTGCAAGAAAAAGCACAAGGTGAATATTATCACAAGCTCTTCTTCAGAAACCATAAATCCTAAAATACTATGAAAAGAGGAAGTGGGGTTACCTATTGCCACAATTGATGAGGCCACAAGGCTGAAACTCAATTTTATTCGTATACAACTTAGAAAATAATTCATATGAAAAAATGCCCTGCATGTCACAAACAAATTAATAAGATTAAAATAGCTCTGCTGATTTGTTGATGTAGGATAGCATCCTAGAACCTGGTGATTACCTTATGACCATGTCTTCCTGCCATCCCATTCTCAGCTAATGACTTCGGTTTAGTCCACTGGTCTACAACTTTCAGTACTGATGCCTTCAAACCACTTTTACCATTTAGAGAATTTATATCACCATTCTGTTTCTGATGGTCAAGAACTCTTCCAGATTTTGCTACAAGAAGAGAATGCTTCACAACATCAGCACACTCCCTCGTATTTGAGGCCTTGGAAGGCAAAAGTTGGACTTCCCCAAGGACCTCAACCTTTGGAGGGGCCAACATACAGCCACTTCCAGTACTGGTGCTCTTTGACTTTTGAAGGGTCACAGTGGACGAAACAGTAGGGTTCGAAGGACGTGGCGGTCTTGGTAATGACATTCCAGCTTCATCAGATCTTTTAGAACTTCTTTCTTTTCGATTAACTTCATTATAAAAATTAGGAGTCCCCGATGGAGCCCTGGGAGTTTCTTCTGAAATGGATTTTCTGTGCTCTGAAACTTTTGCAGCTGAGGTATCTCTAGAAGAGCCAAATGATACATGCAGAGAGGATTTACCAGGTTCACCAGATTTAGAACTTCCACGATTCTCACTTACACATTCTGCTGATCCAAGAGCCGTACCCCAAAAATCAGACGACTTCAGTAGAGCCGGGTCAGCTGATCTTGGATGCCTATCCGGAACGAGTAAGCTACTTGATTGGTTCTGGTTCTGCCCAGCATCACCCCCAGGTTTAAGCAGATTCGGTTTAGGCAAATTAGCAAGGTTATCTACAGACTCAACCAAATGCACAAATTTAGGAGACAGCGGCTTAGATGGAACATCATCAATAACTCTGAAACAGGGCTTCTCTGACGCTACAGAAACATGAGCATCCAGCAATGGCTCCGACCTCTCGGAATCAGATGAACTAAGGCACTCACCAAGAGAAGTATCATCACTAGAGTCATTACGGGGTGAGGAGGAAAAGCCAGAAAACGAGGATCCATATGTTTCAGCAACAGAAACAGCTTCTTCCTTATCTATAAGGTCATCTTTGTTATCTGCACTTCCTCCATCCACATCTTCAGGAGATCTGGAAGAATTAGAAAGTATTTCTTCCCTGATTGGTACAGTATCTGCTTCAGAATGCAGCAACAAAGTTTCATCATGAGTAAGCCCTTTATTTTCTTCTCCAAATTTCAAATCAGAGTCACTCTTCTCATCGTCCGTATTATATATGATGGAAGCAGGCTGACACTCATCTTTATGACCTTGCCGCCAGTGGATAATTTGACATTTCCCGGAACTGAAAATCATATTAAAAAAATACATATGTCATGAACAATACTATATATTAAGATAAAAACTTCTAATACGCTAATGAGAAAGCTTGAAGACGCTAACGTGCAACGCTTAAGCTATACAATCGACACAAATTCCTACACTGAAACCGAAGTCACTTTTTCTTAAATCTCCAGTCAAGTAAGATCCCAAGATACCAAAAGCACTTTGAGTACTACTAAAGTTACAAAGCTACAACTCTTAGTCTTCCCTTCTAACCACTCTAATTCATCACAAAGAGAATGAAACTTTGGACAGATTAATAGGATAATTAACATACCAATACCGAACGGCTTTGCAACGAGAGCAACGAGTCAAAGCAGGACAATAACAAACAGGGCAATAAAAGCTATTAGTTACAGGAACAGGAACAGAAGAGAACTCAAAAGAAGCCTCTCGCTCAACCCTAGCAGCTTCCTCAGCCGCATGGATAAGAAGTCTCCGGATCTCCTCTCTTCTCATAGCAGCGAGCTTCCATTGACGCCGCACAACAAAGAAGCCAATAAGAGGAAGAAAAAGAGAGATCACAAGGACTAAGCTAGAAAGCCCTAAATCCCAAACAAGGAGCATTTATCCTCCACCAGATGCGTAAACAATTAGAAATGAGACTGGACTCCGAATCTGACCACCAACCATAGATCTCGCCGGCGTATTAGCCGGGAAAGGAGGTTACTTTGAGGATCAATAATTGAGATTCGGCATGCAGAGAGAGAGAGATCGTCAAGGTTGATCCTTTGGTGGATAAGCTTCCAAATGATGACGGACCCAAATCGAATCACACGAATAAAGGAAAACCCTCGAGAGCCCAAGTTGATTTGTTTATTCTCTGGAAATGTGAAAATCTGGTCTTTGTGTGTTTAGGGTTTGGAAGGAAGGGAGGAAGATGAGAAAGAGAGAGATTCTTCGGTACAAGGAGGAAGAAATTAGCAAGAATATTTACTTTTTTCCAAAACGAAGACGTTTGCATACCACGAATTTTCTTTTCTTTTCTTTTCTATTTTTTTTTGTTTAGTTGTTTTATTATTTTATCCTTTTATGCTGTTGTACAAGGAAGGAAGTCTTTTATTTTAAACCAATCTCAGTGGTCATTTAATTTAATATTGAAAAAATGATAGTTCAACGGTAATATGGCCTTTTTAATTATTCTCTTGGTTCCTTTCAGATCTATGGAAGGGTAAAAACGATTTACAGCTCTTAAGATTGTGGAGAAGTCAATTAAGAAACAGGAAAGAGTAGTAATGGAATGACGCAGAGTGCAGCCTCTCCTTTTTCTGAAGTGGCACGGGTCTGCTTGTTACATGGCTTGTTATCATGCGGTTTTTCGAGGTTGCGATTTTGACTGTTGTCAGTTTCATAGCAACAAGTCGCTTTGGCCGAGTGGTTAAGGCGTGTGCCTGCTAAGTACATGGGCTCTGCCCGCGAGAGTTCGAATCTCTCAGGCGACGTAATTGTTTTTTTGAAACCTTTTTAGAAGGCTAAATTAAAAGCCCAACTAATCTTATCCTAAGCCCAAGAATCAAAAACTGGGCCGCCTCTCACTCGAACACACACACGTCTTAACTTTGACCAGCTTAAAAACCGGCGAGTCTGACTTGAATCCCAACAGCAATTAGGGTTTACTTTAATTATTACAAAGACCTCTCACAGTTGTTCCTACGAAGAAGCTGGAAAAAGCATTCGTCAACACTGAGCAGCTGCTCTTACTCCACAACACAAAACCGCGTCATAAAAACTCACTATAAATACTTCATCTGAGTGTTCTTCTTCAGACATCTCTCAGTTCTCTCTTTTCCATAAGCTTTAGTCTTAACATTACAAGAAAACAAAAAAAAAGGTTCAATTTAAATAGCAATGGGAGTAAAAAGTTTCGTAGAAGGTGGGATCGCCTCTGTAGTCGCCGGTTGCTCCACTCACCCTCTCGATCTCATCAAAGTCCGCCTTCAACTCCACGGCGAAGCTTCCGCCGCTCCCTCCACCGTCACTCTCCTCCGTCCAGCTCTCGCTTTCCACAATTCTCCTTCAGCTTTTCTGAACACAACTACTTCCGTTCCTAAAATAGGACCAATCTCCCTCGGAATCAACCTCGTCAAAACCGAAGGCCCCGCCGCGCTATTCTCCGGCGTCTCCGCCACACTCCTCCGTCAGACTCTCTACTCCACCACCAGGATGGGTCTCTACGAAGTCCTCAAAAACAGATGGACCGACCCCGAGTCCGGTAAGCTCAGCCTCCCCCGTAAAATCGCCGCCGGATTAGTCGGCGGCGGGATCGGAGCCGCCGTCGGGAACCCAGCCGACGTGGCGATGGTGCGCATGCAAGCCGACGGGAGACTTCCCGTCGCCGAGCGACGTAGCTACGCGGGAGTAGGAGACGCAATCAAGACGATGGCGAGGCAGGAAGGCGTGGCGAGCCTGTGGCGCGGCTCGGCGCTGACGATTAACAGGGCGATGATAGTGACGGCGGCGCAGCTCGCGTCGTACGATCAGTTCAAGGAAGGGATTGTGGAGAGTGGTGTGATGAGAGATGGGTTGGGGACTCACGTGGTGGCGAGTTTCGCGGCGGGGATTGTGGCGGCTGTTGCGTCGAATCCGGTGGATGTGGTGAAGACGAGGGTGATGAATATGAAGGTGGATGCGCGTGGTGGTGGTGAGGGGGCGAAGTATAAAGGCGCGTGGGATTGTGCGGTGAAGACGGTTAGAGCGGAAGGACCGATGGCGCTTTATAAAGGGTTTGTTCCTACGGTTTGTAGGCAGGGGCCTTTCACTGTTGTGTTGTTTGTTACGTTGGAGCAAGTCAAGAAGCTGCTTCGTGATTTTTGAGTATCATTTGGAGATGATTATGATGATGACGATTAAGAAGATGAATGGTAGTAGTATTGATAGGGATTTTATTTGTATTGATTAATTCATTTTTTCAATATGTTTTTGTTCAAGCATTGCTATTAGAATACAAATCAGTTTTTCTTTTTTTTACTGTTTTGAATGTCTCTACCAAAATAACAGATCAAACACAGTTAAAACACAAAGGTGCAGTTGAAAGACTAAAAAGAATGAATATGTTATTTGTTGTTATGGGGTGAAGAATAAGGCATATAAATGGACGTGGGAGTTAAATGGTGGCTGTACATTTGTGGAAGTTGGGGTTAAAGCAGCTCTAATAAAGAGATCATCTGGATAAGGTCCTTGGTGTTGTGCTGGGTTGGTTTCCTCCAGATCCTACTCTGCCTCTGTCTCCTCCGTTCTCAGATCTTCCTCTGTCTAGAACATGCTGGCTATGGAGTTTGCTGCTCTGTGACTCATGGTTCTGGCTCTGGTTTGATCCTGTTTCTCTTTCACGTTCCTGCAAACTTTGGTTTTGCACCGAGGATGGACTGGGTTGTCCTGTGGTTTTTCCTTTGTCTATATTTGAGAGCTCGCTTGCGATTTGACTCCGTCTCTCCTTCAGGAAGTTGAGCCGCATTGTCAATTTGGAAAGTGCAGAAGTTGATGTGTTTCCCTGTTTGTTTGTACTCATTTAGCTCTCCTTGTTTCGAACGATAATTGGTTGCATTTTGATGGGTATGTTTGTTTTTTGTTTCTTACCTCTCCCTTTGAGCCAGACCTCTTTGACATGCTCGCAGACTTTGAGCTGCCACGTGAAGTTTCTTGTTGCGAGCTTTTGCTCCGTTGATCTTGTTGCTTCTCTATCTCATTTTCTCTTGCAGACTCTTGCTCATCCTGCAAAATGTTACGGATCTGTAGTGCATTATTTATTACAGAGGAAGAAGAAACAGACTTGCTAAGACACACACATATATAATATGTTACCTTGAGCGATGACCTTCCGGATACGTGAGTATCTTCTTCAGTATCCATTTGTTTCTCCTTCCTGTGAGACAAAGTTGAAAGAAGAATAGTGCTTAGCGTTAATATGGCTAAGAAAAGTAGTGGTGAACTTTTTGATGAATCCATACATTTTTGCATTGTGCTCTGGAGTTTTCCAAGATTCTTTGCTGGCACCATTCGTTGAACCAGAGGGTTTTACGTTCTTTGGACTAAGTCTATTTTCAAGATCATCAACCTTATGTTCCAAGTTGGCAATGTCAGCCTCCGCCTGAGCTACGTCTTGCAGATCTTTCTTCAACTGTTAAGAAACATGTCTTTCAAGTTGGACATATATTTTAACCAAACAAAAATAAATAAAAGGCAAGACGAAGAAGAACAACCTTTTCATCAGTTATTTCTGGAATAGGTTGATTCCCTTTTGACATCTTCAGTCCTGCTTCCAGGGCTGATTTCTTGTCTCTCTCTTGCTGCAACTGTTCCTGTAGTCTTTCCACCTAGAGGAAGAAGGTAAAGCACATTCATTTATCTAAAGAACTTGCCAACACTCGATAAGAACAAATTTCATATAGCTTGGAAATGATTTTTTTTTAAGCTTACATCTTTCTCTAGTGCTTCGCGCCGCACGTACAAAGCTTTCTTCCGTCGCTCTAAACTAGCCTGTAGAACTGCATTGTTTTTAACCTGTTTTAAAATGAAGTTTGTTACATGTCACATACTCGTTAAAAGCCCCTATTTGTACAGAAAACGAGTTAGCTAAAGCAAAAAAAAAACACACAGTAGGACTTATTTCTGACCTCCTCTGAGATACTGTTTTGTAACTCCGATTTGGCTGACTCAAGTCTTTCAATGTCAGCACTGCAGAATATAACATTGTTTGATTAAGTACTCATCTTGGCGTAGTAGACAACGTTGATTTACAAGATATACTTTAGCCCAAACAAGTATAAAGTTTTGTATTGAATTATGATCTAAACATTGAAAGCCATACAACCAAAAGAAACCACGAGGAAGAAACATAAAGATGTAAAGCACTTGTAGAGATGATGTTACTTACTCGTCCTCGTCCACCTCCACCTCCGCTGCAAAATCAATGGATTCCATCGGAAGGTTTTTCTTTCCCTGGGCACATAAAAACCAAACTGTTACTAAACGTCTCGATCCCTTAAGAGCTAGGAAAACCACATCAAGAACTATGCCCTCGGCATATTAAGGAAACGAAAAAGAAGCTTACAGGGGTACGGCCCCAGCGCTTATTACTTCCACCGGGTGGACTGGATAATGTAGACGGTTTCTTAATGTCAGATGCCACATCTGGTGCTGATGAGCTTTTATCCTCAGTTGTTGAAACCTCTACAACAGTCTTTACCTCTGCATTTTCAGCACCTTTAACCAGGATATTTTCATCTTTTTTTGCATTATCATGCCGTGGTAGTGAAGATCGTTTAGAGCTGGATAAAAGCTTCTTAGTAACTTGAGGCTCCGTAGTTCCTTTTGGGGTTTTGGATTCAGAGCTTAACTTATCATTTATCTGCAGTGCGAACAAAGCAAATGTCCATATATTTTAAACAGTGTTCTAGAATCCGCATATGTAATACTTGATAATAAACTAATTAATCATCCTAGTAATCAACAAGTATTTTCTTTTAGGAAATGGTTTAGTTATTGAACCTTAGTATAGGAACGTGCCTTGTGGTCATCATGAACAAAGTCATCCCCATGATTGTCGTCCGAGGCAACACTCTCACTGTATGATCCGTTTGATTCATTTTCAAGATCCTCTTCCTCATCTGTGTAGTCATCAGATCCCTGTGTGCCATCATATTCATCGTCATATTCTTCATCATCTGTTCCCTCCTCCGTTCCACTACCACTCTCTTCTGAGTCAGAGTACAAGCCGGGCGATAAGGAACCTTCCTGCAGCCATAGACCATTTATGTAGCTAGAAGTTAGTGACTGGTAAAAGCACGCTGGTATAAAAACTGAAATTTTCTTTTCACACTGCCTCGAAGGTTTAACTATACTACTGCAGCAACAAAATCTTACTCCAAATATGCTGGAATATTCTTCTAACAGTGTTATCACTATAGCCTGGGCATGATTTGCTGCAGCTGCTGCTTGCAAAAGTTGCATAGAACCATCACCGCCGACATCAAAATCATTTTCGATTTCACAGTCGCCAGCCAGAAGAGGTCGAAGAAGTAAAGGTGCCATACACGCTGCAACAGCATTCGTGTTCATCCGGTTCACATTTTTGTTAGAGGCCACTACTTGCATCATCATCAGGATTCTTGGAAGAAGAAAAACAAACAAAATTAATAACAAATAGTGAACTAACTCCCTAAGCGTGCTTGATAAACTGGAGAGGTGGAAGGCTCTATAGGATTCATGGAGTTCATCTCTCAACTTTCGTAATCAAAACGTGAAAAGAGATAAGAGACTACCTTTGCAAAAGGCGTCGATTTGGTTCAGGGAATGATTCACAAATTGCTTCCCGCATAGCATTGATTCTATTGCCACGGTCAGTACCTGATAATGTTACACGTTAGAAATCTGGGGAAGATATGTTGCAAGGAAAGAGGCGATCAACACCATTTTTATAGCATGTTTGGATGTCAGTAAAGATAAAATCCCGGGAGAAGTTTCGAAAAAGAAAAAATAGATTGGTCTCCACAGTAAACCCCGAGGAAGATAATTTCTTAGTGTATTTAGTTTGGATGGATACCACAGAAGGTATCTCAGACACAGGAAAAAACAGAAGAAAATTATAACTTACGGCAAGCTTCCAGAAGGGCGTTGCAACAAGATGCAGGCACCGGAGAGGAAGGCAACTCTCTAAGAACATACTGCACATTCAAGGATACAATTAGAGAGACATAAGAGCGAAATAAACTCAGCATAGTAGTGACAAGTAGCAGGTACCTTAAGACAATCAGCAATAACATGAGCATCCTCCGTGGGAGTGAACTCATTTTTCCCTGAACCAAGGGACTACGTATAAATATAAATTCGCAATGCAGAAGAACACGAAGATAGAAATAGATAGCCTAATCAAGTATATGCAGAGATTCAAAACCTTGCTCATATTCACGAATCCGATGTTCAACATCATCAACATCAGCAGCTTGTCTCAAGATTCCTTCTACATTAATTCCTGCAAATAAAGTTGTATTTTATGCTCATATGGCTAAAATAAGCAGCAAATAAAGCTGAAAGCCTGAAACTAATACCATGATCTTCAACAAATCTAAGGGCCTTTTCCAAGAAAGATGGAGATCCATCAACCTCTTCTAGAGCAAGCAAAACTGGTCTTCCAGTGACAGTTGATCTTGTTGGTGTTTCGTCTTCTGTAAAAATGTGAAAAAATGCATCATTCTCCAAATGAATTGAAAGAGAACCTAATCTTTGGACGTCACCGATTGTCTAAACTGTGTCTACATTCTTGTAAGCCTTTCAATACTAACTAGTCAGCCTTGAGTTCCAGACGAAGGGCATATATATTTTACATGGTAACAATCGCTAGGTTTTCTAAAGAGGACAAACCTTTGAAATTTTCACAACACTCAAAACATAATTTGTTGTAATACATGAATTTCTAAAGACTAAATCATTAGAAAAGTGACAAACATACTCTGCTCTTCAACACTGACAGGGGCATCTGCATGATCATTTGTGAAGATACCATTTTGACTCATAACATGAGAGGCATTAGGTGCTTGAGTCAAAGCGCTTTCTAGAGCAACTTTCCACTCCTGTAGATCCTCCATAGTGTCGGCCTGCCAAAAAAGGTATCAAATCAGAATGCAAAGTTGATCCATCAGTGAATCTCAGTCCTTGAATGATTTATAACTACGCCAAATAATAACCATCGAATTCATATTTAAATTTACGTTTCAACCTATAGTGCTATGTAGTAGAGATGATAAAGATTAAAGCACATTGAAACAGAAAATTCAGCTCAGTGCAACGGTTATACATGAAAAAGAAAACAAGTTGAGACAATATTACATATCAGAAAGTAAGATAAGATGCACAAATGACATGGATGCAACTGATAATAATAACAAGATTAAGGAGACAAGGAAACAGAAAAGGAAAGAAACGTTTTGAAGAAACCTTGAGTGTGAAGGCGCGTCCATCACGACCATCAGGGAAGAGAACAGTCAACAGCTTTTTATCTGCCTTAACAACCACACTAAAAAATAGTCCGAAGTTATATGATGTTAGCAAAACCGAACCAGATGTTAATCGGTTAAAGACTATAGTAAGAAAACAATAAGCCAACCTGCCTGAATTGTTGAGATCAATTCCCCCAAGGGTTAAGTTAACCTCACTGCCCCTCTGCTGGACTGCGTTCTGTAAAATAAAACAGAAAAAAATGTGAGATAAGCAGCCTCTGTAATAACAGTCTCATACCCTGAACAAACTATATTTGGTATAATATTTTCCCCCAATCTCTTTAAGGAACTTTTGCTCTTATAGCTTTGAGCCCTATCCTAATTCCCATGTGAGTCAAGTTCAAGAAAAGCTAAAAGGAATTAGTGAACGGCACTCTCATATTCACAGAGAAACAGTCGGAGCTTCTTGAGATTTGGTAATAATAATTATAAAGACCCTTAGTCCTCTACTTCTCTAGAAAACACACAAGAAAACAACATTTCGCAGCATCTTTGATCAGAATATGAAAAGCTTACCGGGTCACTACGAAAGAAAACAAGTGAAGTACGAGTCAAAATAAACCATCTCTTCTTCCAAGATGTCCACCCAAGCCCTGTGTTAAGAAAAACCTCTAGAACTTATTAACCAAAGATATAAAAAAATCTGCAACAGAGTAGCTCAGAATCAAAGTTGAAAAGGTTTGGAAGTGAAACAGAAGAAGCTTTAAGATACAACCATAGTACAACCGCCACACAGAATAAGAAAGGCTGCCTGAAATATAAAGAAAAAACATACCTTTTGATGATATAGAGAGCGTTCCACTCTTGAAAACCTAGGAAAGTAGAAAAGTAAAATCAACTCTACATTAACATCATAGGCCTAATGATTATATGAATGCTAAATGTGTCATTAGAGAGTAATTGTGAGAGAGTAATTACAGTGTTGCCACCACGGGAACGGGAGTCTGAGTTTCCATACTGTGGAAGGCTACACGTGTCACCCTATCATCGGAAGCAAAAAGAAAAAAAAAACAAATGTTGATGAATATTTTTTGACGGAGAAACAAACATTGAGAGAATAATAGGGATTGATCGGCGATGGATTTAGACGCACCTGAGTCTCCTGGTCTTGTTCATGAGGATTGTTATTCTGATTCTGCTGTTGTTGTTGTGGTGGCTGCACCTGAGGAGGAGGCTGTGAAGAAGATTCTGAGTTTTTGGTAGGAGCCATGACTTTGATGTATCACGCCATTGAAATGTCCGATCAAATTCGATACAGCCTGATCTTGAAATGCGGCATAAGAAGCATTAATTCGAGAAAACCTTGATCTGGAGTATGAATAATTACTAATTTTTGGAAAACAAAAAAAAATTGTAATTGATTTTTTAGAGAGAGAGAGAGATAGAGATTTGGTTTGATTTGATTGAAGTGTTCAACGATGGGTTTTTTGAGAGAGGAAGAGGTTAAGCGAAAATCATGGGCGTAAACAGAGGAAGAAGGAAGGAAGCGTTTTGTTTTGTTTTGTTTTTATTCGGCACTTGTACACGTCATCATCCCCCTTCTTCCTTCTTGGAGGGAAACTTTCCCTCTTTTTGACCTTTTCTCTCTTCTTCTCTAAACCCATAAAACAGAATTTGAATAATAAATACATTCCCAGACTTATAATTATTGTCTAATCTGTAGTTTTGCTTGATATCTATATCTCTAGATCCCTACATAATACCATTAGATTAGAAAAAAATACCATTAGATTAGAAAAAAAAGTTATTTGATTTTTGACAACTTTAGTACACCCTCGCATTAGTTGACCCTATGAATTGAACAGAACACTCTACTAGATCGTGCCGAGCACGACCATCAATCACACCACTCTTATTTTTTGTGTTAATGGCAACGCCTTTGCTTTGATTATCATATTATTATTTCTTCTGAATCGTTTAAACTATGTTCTGGATATTGCTGTTGCGTGCATGGGAGACTCATTCATTTGTCTCATTTTCCGATTAAATTGATTTCTTTGATGGGTATTCCAATATAGTATTCATCGGATATATAGTTCAATTATGTAATGCTTATGCAATCCAGATTCGGTTATAAGATCGGACTTTATATGTTGGATGTCCGAGCCAACACGTATGCCCTAAATGGCCTTGCAACTTGGAAATGATATAATTAGAGGTTATAGTCTCCACTTAGGCTGTTACGTGAACATTCGCACCAGCTCAAAAATCGTGTTCCCAACCATGTTTGATAGCCAGCATTCTGAATAAGAAAAGGATTTAATTATCCACCGGCATTACCAATTCAGTCTTGAAAGATCGATGTAATTGGTAATGATCAAAAGAGAAACAGATTTTGACTAAATGTTCAGTTAAAATGGACATATACAACATCACCAAAACGTTGAGCAGTTAAAATGCATATGCACAAGACTATTCAAGTGCACTACGGATAGTCTCATCGACGTATAACTGGTCGTCTAGATAATATTTTTATCTGAGTGAGACGGAAGCCTTACAACATTTGAATATATGTGCTTAGCATAATTTACCAAACGAACTTGCAAATACCCTCCTAAACGCAGAGCAGAAGGTTTGGTGCAATGTGTGTTTGTGGTATTTGGAGGAATTAAAAAAGATTTATGGTGATCTGTATAATATAAGCGCATTGCTTATAGATGAAGTTTATAAACTATCAATTAGGTATGTACGAGATGCACATGGAGGGACTGTGGCTGTTTAACCAAGATGCAGATGAAGCCATACTTGGTGTCACGCTTTTTTGTTATTTTCAAATGCAAAAGAACCAAGGAGAAGACAAACTAAAACTATGATGGGCATTTCTTGCATCTGTGACATGAAAAAAGTGCATGCTGCAAACTTGCAATTTACTACAAAAACAACAGAGAAACTAAAAGAAAACGCAACAGAAAAAAAACATTAAAATATGTGATGTCCTAACTAAAAAAAGTGACAATCTGTATAGAATTGTGTTATACGATTGGAAGTTATTGTTTTGTACGTCTTGTCATAAAACATCATTGTGCTTGTCACCGACTAAGCGTTTGATATATTCCATGCATAAAAAAAAATTCTCCATTGGTTGGGACTGATCGGTTAGCCGGTTCCGGCTGAGATTTGGAGGGGTTTTCTCGCCGGCGCATTATTTCTGCCTGTCGGTTTAGTTATTTTATGGTTTAATTCCGGTTTAATGGATGTCATTATTATATAATGCTGGGTAGTTATGGTTTAGTTTCGGTTTGGTATAAATTTTGATTGTGGTTTGTAATTGTTTGTTACTGGTTTAAATCATGATCATTGTACTAATATTTAAATCTACATATTAAATTTTTATAGAAGATTATTTAAAGCAACTGTATAAGATAGATATTCACGTTAGATTCTATTCTAACAATTTGTAGAGTTGCTTGTTGTCTTACTACTTACGACTCTTTTTTCTTCTATTGCCGTCGGTTGAAACTAAACAAAAACAAAAAGGTTGAAGAAGAACAATCAATCAATCGTCTTCTTCATCGTCTCGATTAATTTATACCTAATGGAAATCGAGGTCTCGAGCTCGGCTCGTGATACCGTCGATTTGGATAGTATCCGTATCAAGCGGAAGACGTTGCAAAACCTGCTCGACGATTGCCAGAGAGCTCTCGAGCTGCTTAATCTCGCCGATACCGGCGATAAAACCGAAACCGGTGGTTCCGGAGAGGATAACAGCAACCACGTGGAGAGGGAAGAAGAAGAGTTTCGATCTTCCGATTCAGGAGATCCTGAAGCCGATAAAGTATGCTTCTTATGCTTCGTTAATATCTAAGAGAGAGAGAGAGAGAGTATGAGAATTTGATATATGTGTTGTGTGTTGTGTTTGCGCAGTTTTATGATCTCATCAAATCTAGAGTTGAATGTAATGACTTTAGGGAGAAGATTGAGCTAGCTCAAGTTTCACTTCTCCAAGATCTTGCTGGTAAGATATGTTTATTACTAATATAAGTTGGTTTGTTTGGTTGTAGAGGTAACTTTATAGAGGTTGTTGAATTTGGCAGAAGAAGAAGGTAGCTCTTGGGATGTAGTAAGTGAAGATGATATATTGGGTGTGGGTGGAACGGAAGATGATTACGTTGTTGTTAGGGAAGAAGATATAGCTGATGGTATTGCTTGTTTCATGGCTACTTATTTATCTTCCCTTAAGCAGACTAAGGTTCGTCGTACATTAAGGCAGGCATATATGTTGTTTCATGTCTCTCTCATCAACTTATTCTTGAGTGTTGTCTTTGTGTAGGATATATCACCTGATCAGCTTCAGAAAGGTAAAATTCTTTTTAAGTTACATGTGTCATTATTAGAAACTTTTTTTGCTTTGTTGCCGTCCCTGAATCAAAGAAAGTAGCCTAGGATATGTTGTAGATAACAGTAGATATCTTGCTTAGAGTGTCACTCTTAAATCTCTCCTTATCTAAGAGTTTACTTATGAACTGCGATTGTAGCACTTAGCACGATGTTTTCAGTGAAGAAGAGAAAGGGAAAGCTTCGTAAAGCATGGGAAGGAAGTAAAGTTATTTACAACGTTGCATCATGGAGCGCAACTGCTATAGGGTACGTACACAAACGCACTCTCTTTAACATGTTCAGTCATTTAGTTTGTTTGTTTGTATGAGTGCTTCTAACTAGTTCTCACCAATCTTTATTTCTATTTTTGGCAACAGCTTATATCAAAACCCGGTAATACTGAGTATTGCATCCAAAGCCTTCTGGGTGTCTTGCAAGGCCATATCAAAGCTTGTCTAAATTGGAACACATCTCGCTCCTCACAGGGTGCTCATAAAGTTACAACAGCCTCGACTCAGCAATGTTTTATATCGATTTAATTTATATCTGTACATAATGCCATTTGTTTGATCCTTCTTCCCTGTGATGTTATTCTCGACATGCAATGTTAAAAGATCAGTTTGATCTCAACTTCGATGTACTTGTTCTAAAGTTAGCGTGATGAAATTTCAGAACAAGAACTCTAATTAACAACGAAACTACAATGATAAATCCTAAAGGAGACTATCCAGAACGCGAGATTAACCATAAAACTTCATGCTTATTAATCATCACCAGTGAACCACTTAAATGAACAATCTCAATCATCTTCACATCGTTTGGAGTTGTTTAGGTCCAACACAGGGATTTATTTATCAGCTTTGCAAGAGATAATCAGATTCAGTCAACTTTAGTAAAGAGAGTTTTGTATTTCACTTCATCGTGTGTTATTTGACTCTTACCACAACTCATACCAGTCTTGTAATATATGGACACATTAATACTATAGAAAAAACGTGATAACCTAACCATCGTGTTTTATTGCGCACCCAAAGCTATCAACATTTTACTCCACCAAGCAAAATACTTGCAGCTTCAAGCAGAAGAGCAAATGAGATCTGATCCTTCTTTAAGCTTCTCTAGTAATAAAAAGACTTGGATTTATTAACTGCAGTGTCCTTGCAAAGAATAGAGCGAACCTCCACAATGGATCTCGGAGGCTCCATGTCTTGCTCTCTTAACGAATTGCCTAGCAGCTGCTGCATCTGTGCTGCAAATGTATCGTCTAATATCTGCAGCACCAGTAATACACAAAGATGAGGTTAAGCCTAGGAGTCATTGCAATAAAAAATAAGTGCGGTTTCTATAGGAGGAGGCTTACAGAGACAGCAACTCTAGAGCCCTTGTACCAAGCTCTGTTCTCTTTCCTGTTCTCCAAAAAGCTTAAAACAATCTGCCATGGGCCGAGAAGAAGAATCAGCTCTCAAATACGGCAAAACAACCAAAAATCAAACGAGACTATCGGAATAATTACCTGTCCCATACGATCCCAATATCCTCGGGACAATGCGATGAAGACATTCGTCTCACATACCGAATGTAGATGATTCACTGTGTTGGTGAGCTGCTCCTTCAGGTTTTGCATTTTGCTTCTGATGTCTGATTCTCCAACACTTTCTTTAGAGTCCTGAAGAATCTTCTTCAACATTGTCGACTTTTGTAGCTTGCTCTATAACAAAACCAAAATAACCGGTAACAGCATATGCATTTAGTAATGGGAATAGGATTTTAAAATATGCTGACATGGACTCACATTTTCAACGAGTTTTTCAACCACAGCCTGAAGGTAATTTCGAAACTTGGCTCTGAGCATCACTGTCACCTCAGAAAGACGATCTCCAGGAGCCGCATTCCCAACATCAGGAATGCATGACGACCATGCTTTAAATTGAGCCTCTATCTTAGGCCGTATGACATCAAGCATTCTCTTCATAGAGTTTAGTAGAATGCCCAGCTGCAGATAAAGAAACTCCTCAGACAAATCTTCCGTTAAGAAAATTTTAAAGAAAAAAGTGTGGGAACATTATGCTTACCTCGTCAGGGACTGTATATGCAATTACATTTCTTTTGGTCAGCTTCTGGACATACTTAAAGCTCAACTTTTTTGGAGCCAAGTTTTCTTTCAGAGGTGATAAGACATCTGCATACTGCTTCTCCAGAGCTTCCACAATTGCTTTTTCAACATCAGCAATAGCCTAAAGAAACACAGCTTAAGTCATTCTATCCAGTCCTATTTCTTAAGATACGAAAAATTATTATGAAAATCCACTGAATCCAAATTCGCGCCATAGAAATACTGAATACAGACGAAAATATTTTCACAGTTGCGAATCAAAAAGGTATCAAGGAACAGCTAAACTTACACTCTCCAGAACAAAGACATATTCCGGCCATCTAGAAATGATGACTTGATAGTCTTGAATCGTGTTGTTTAACCTGGTGTACATTTCATCAACAAATGGGGTTGTTGAATGCTGTGTCCTGACTCCAGACCATTTTACCTGATAAAATGACAGGTTTCGTAATGAAACATAAAAGTTAGTTTCGAAGACTAGAAAGTATGGATCAACTTATTTTATATACAAATCCAGAACAACACCCACATCCAGCTATTCACATGGATCATAATTCACACAGTAAACTATATCTCTATTTGTGTATTTTTAGTTAAACTATATATCTGTGTCAAGACTCAGCTTTTTGTACTTAATTCATCTTCGCAAAAATACTTTTGCATCTCCACAGTTTGATTAAAAATAAAAGATACCACACAGAGAATCCATATATATACCTTATCAAGTTTGCATGATTCAAGTAATGAAAGACGTCTATCTTGAATCCAAATCATAATGTACAAGTGGAACAACTCTTTTGCATCAACACCGCCTTGGATAGGACTGTAAAATGAAACATGATATACCAGTCAACAACAATTGATAGCCAAAAATCAAATAATCTAAACGAACTACCTTATGTTCCAGCTCGAAAGATCTCGTTGAAAGTCTGCAGTAGCAATCACAAGCTCTGCAACTGTTGGTGAAGGACCAGAGGGCGGACATGCAACAAGGAATGCTCGAAGTCTGTTGCAGAGGTCAGTGCTATATATGGACGCTGACAAGTTTGGAAGGTCGAGAAAGCTGCAAAAAAAAACAATATAACAAAATTGGGCAATCAACACCTGCATGAAGATGCTACAAGACCCTTAGTTGTAGTACACATCTAAACATGTCAATCACATAGAATTTGATACTACAATGGTAATAATAATTACACAGGAAGGTAAGAGTATGGATGAAGCTAACTAGGTATAAACCACAAATCTCTGGAAAAAATGGCCATCTAGTTAATAAGTTGACAAGTATACCTAATTGTCTATTGTAAGATGATCGCGTGTCTTACACTACTTCGAAACTCAAAGAGCTTGTGACGAAGCAACAGTGTCCACTACAGTTGACTATGGTTGGTCAGCAAAGAATATTTTGGTTGAAGAATGAAGATCTACTTGACGTTGCAAGACAACAGTATCTGAAGCTAACTAGGTATAAACCACAAATCTCTGGAAAAAATGGCCATCTAGTTAATAAGTTGACAAGTATGCCTAATTGTCTATTGTAGATGATCGCGAGTCTTACACTACTACGAAACTCAAAGAGCTTGTGATGAAGCAACAGTGTCCACTACAGTAGACTATGGTTGGTCAGCAAAGAATATTTTGGTTGAAGAACGAAGATCTACTTGACGTTGCAAGACAACAGTATCTGAACATAGTTGGAAATAGTTGAGCATAAGACTAACACTTGCATACTAACCTGGGAAGTATATCTTGATTTTGGATCTCAATATCAGTAAAAATCTCGTTCTTTACATTCTTGCAGACCAGAGTCATTTTCTGGTAAGCAGCCGACATTGCAGAAGGATCCCAAATATTGGGATCACTATTGTTAACAAACTCATCTGTCTCACCCATATGCCTTTTAGATCTCTTCTTTGCTGCTGCCTATAAGAACAGAGTGCCATTTAGATGGAAAAAAAAAAACTAATCAAGAGTAAGGTATGGCAATTAAGAGGTTTTATGCTATACCTGGAAGTAATGACAAAGATTAGTCTGATCCTCGGGAGACAAGATATCATGCAGAAGCATGTACAATTTAACAGCAGGAGTGAGTGCTGGCGCTGGAACTCCTGTTGCAGAACTGACTACATCATTCATTCCCGAGAATGAGGACTCGTCAAGAGATTTGTAATTCTCGAAGACCAGCTTCAGAATCTGCTCAATTTGGTCCTTGATTTCATTTAGGATCCGATTCTGTTGAACGCAAAGAAAAGAAGGAGATTCATAAGCGGTTCAGAAACAGAAAGCGCATGTGTAGGACAAGACTATTATGCTTTCACAAGAACAAAAAATCAACAGCAAACAGGAATAACTTGGGTGATATGACATATTGTTTGATGCTTAAAATTGCTACGTGAAGGTTATCTGTCATTCACCATTGCATTGCATGCACACCTATGAATACAATGGTGAGTGACACAATAATATTGCTACGGTTGTGCTGAGTCAGGTATTATAATCAAAGTATATAAGCTATCTTTGGAGTCGAATCCTATTCATGGCTTTACTTGAGACAAGATTCACACAAACATAAAACGGAAAGGATAAAATAATAGATACTGCGGATCTACCTCTTGATGACTCAAGGCGCTCTTGCCATTTCCTTTCATGATGACAGGTGTTAACAAGTCATGCACCAATTGGAGACAGTCGGAAGTCGGTGTAGCCACATCCATCACATAAGACAAGTATCTGAAAGCAACAAAACAAGTAAGATAGCGAAACAGAGTTATAGCATGTCCCTCAAATGACGAGATAGTAAATATATAAAGTTTGTACGGTATACCTGAGCTTGGTGTAGACATCTGAAATCCCATAGTAGGATGCAAATTCTTCCAAAAGCCATTTCCATGAACCATATAGCAACAAGTTTCTTTGCTGAAACCGTTGCATTTTCAAGGCCACTTCCAGGGCTAGGTCATATGCGACTGTTTCCGCCACAGAGCCACACTAAAGAAAGAATAAAAAATTAATACACCAAAATTTTTGAGCACTGTACAATAACTTCTACATCTATGTTCACAGACATAATCTGCAGAGGATACACATACTTCAAATAGATGATGGATTTTCACTTAATTAACATAAAGCGGAGCATTAGCTCTTAGACAACGATAGGTCTATAACGCTACCATCTTTTGATAAAATTGCTAATGAAAAGTCTTCAACAACTCTTATAAGATATTACTTACTGGTTAAATCATCTAGTTACTATGAACAAGAGAAGAGTTTATTGTTGTTACTATCAACAAGGTAAAAGTTGCTCAGTGAAATGGAATACTGGAGTGTCTCTCAGTCTACTACAAAGAGATGCCAATCCACTAACAGGAAGCAATTAAAAAGAGAGAGTATCAAAGATACCAAGGTAGCTAACACACCTTCAAATGGCTGTTATCATCAAAACTTGCTGAATAGTTAATATAGAGCTGGAGTTTTCCCACAAGTTGATGTTCTGGCTCACGAAAAACAGACCACCAGCGAAGTTTCTCAGCCTGTATGCATTCTTCATTAGAAGCATTTGAAACATACTAACATTAGAAAAAAGGTAGGTAAAAATCGCTCACCGAATCTTCAGAAAAATTAGCTAGCTGGACAAGCACACGCCCAAATTCCTTCCCGTTTGAATCAAGTATTTCAACAATCAGATCATCTCCATGACTATCAGGAAAGCTGTTGAAATTCCATGTACTTTGTCAGACACCACAAATATGGAAAGCTACCCAAAGTGGATTTGAGAGAGGGGAAAGAAGAGTCGAGAACATAAGTACATACAAAACACGGTCTTCACCGGATCCGGGTTGCATCATAATGGCCTCATCTTCAGATAAGCTTTTCAATCTTAACCTACAAGAGTATGTTTCTGAATGACAGAACCAAACGAATTAGTCGATATTTATAAAAGTTCTCACAAAAAAAACAGAAAAAGCAGTGAACTGGGGCAGCATAATAGTACAATATTTGCCTAACTTCGCCAGACATACTAACATATATGTATACATATAAAGATGACATATGCTAAGTCCACATACCTTGAACAACGTCATAAGACGTTGAACTATTGCGTAGACTTGTGACACCAACTTTCAGGAGACCAGAAACTTGCTTCAAGTACTGTGTACTGGCATGTACATATCCTAGGCTTTGACGTGAAAGAGAAGAGCCATTTGCTGGCACACGAACATGGATTTTCCTTAGAGCACGCCATCCTGAAGATAAACGAGTTGATAAACTGGAAAAATGAATCCGGATTTTCTCAAACTTCATCAGCGATGGCTTCAAAGATGATATACTACAACCGGTTGGAGCATCTAAAACGGGTTTTACACGTCGTACTGCAAAAGTAGACAAGTTTATTACGACTATTAATTATAGGAGGGCAGCCAAAGAAGCAGGTGGAAAATGGAATCCAATTTCACCTTGCACCATCATTTTGCCAATGTTTTTCTTGGGTTTTGGTGCAACACCCTCGTTCGGAGCTTGTGAAGATCGCTTCGCAAGCATTTCCTCTTCCGATTGTAAAAGGAGTTGCTGCAACCTGTTATTCAGTGAAGCATGTGGGTGAAATAAACAAATAAACAATCCTCACACTTCAATTTGTATTAAGAAATATAAATGATCTACTCAGCTCAGCTATAATATTGTGAGTCTCAAAGAATACATATGAAGACTAAGCAAGGAGGTATACAATATCTAAACAGAAATAATAAACTCACCCAAATGCTTCTCGTAGAAGAGCACACTCATTTTCCAAAAACATGGGAGCCTCCATGCAGCCCTTTGCCCAGGCATTAAGGCAAAGGCGTACACATGCATCATAGGAAACCACTGCATGCCATGGCCCACGAGCACTGTAGAGTACACAAATATCCGTTCGGTGTTCAAAAACAATCCAACTTGTTTACTAAACTGAATAAAGATAACACAGAAAACAAGCTAATCAGATCCAAATTACATTGCATGAAAAGTTGGCAGCCGAGCTGGATGTTGATCAGATGGCCCAAATGACTCAGAAGCAGCACTAGTTCTATAAGAACAGAAGCAAAACGTTACAATGGTCTCGCAAAATTCAGAACTCATTTTATTATAAAGAGCGAAATAAACGAGAATACCTAGTAAAATGGCCAGTCTTTTTACTTTCTACACAATCTTCTGTTATGGCTTCTGAAACTTGAACGCTTGAAGTCGCCGGTTTAATTTCCTCAGATTCCTCTGCTACCCCTGAAAATGGAGGTGCACTGGGAATATCGCTTACTTCTTCAGAAGAAAACTTGTCATCATCAAGCTCCTGCAATATAAACTACACTATGAGAAGCTCAATCAAAAAAAAAAAAACAAATCACATTCCACCATTATGCAAGTAAAACTCAAACCAAGACAAAGCAATTCTTCTCTGATGTAACATACATCCACTAATCTATTTTCCATATCTATCATCTTAATTAGTCATCATAGCTATCTATACAAACAAACAAAAACTCAATCATCATACGACACCGTATTGGATCCATCAATAAAACTCTAGGATCGGAGATTCAACCTTCTCAACGGCAGCTCCACTGTTCATAATCGGTAAGTGAGATTCAACCCTAGCTACACCACCGTTAATCCTCCCATCCGACCGCCGCGGAGGAGGAGGAGAGAACTGCGAGCTAGAAGCTGAATCCGTCGATTCATCCTCCTCCTCCTCCTCCTCAGTATCAAATCTAGGCTCCGTCTCTCCCCGTGCAGCCACGAGAGTGTCTCTAGATGAGCTCACCTCGGAGTAAGTATAACAAGACGAGTTTCTCCCGTAGCTACGTCCCACGCCACTTGAGACTCTACTGTTCTCTGGAGACGAATCGAGTGAAACGTCGTCGTCGGAGTTTACACTCACATCGTCCTCGGAAGCAGTGGCGTCAGTGTCAGGTACAGGAGCTGAGGCTGATACGTTGCTGTTAGGGAGTTTTTGAGGGGAGGGTGATTTCAATCGTTCGCTGGAGATCATGGTGTAGTGTAGGCGAAGGAGGTTGCTGAAACTGAGCTAATGAAGTATGAGATTCGTATGGAGTTTAGAGATCGAGGCTAGGTTTTGCGGTGGAGGAGATGAGGAAAGCTTAATCAGGAAGCTTTCAGGGAGAAGGAGCTATGGAGAGAGAGAGGATCCAAATCTGTGAATTTCAAATTGATTTTTGTATTTTTTTATTTTAATTTTTGGAAATCTTTTTGTTACTTTTTAGTATTCAAAAAAAAAATTAAGGAATTCGAATTTGGGAAAGAGGTAGAGAAGAAAGGCAAACCAGTTGGTAAGACATTCAAACGGCGTCGTTGTGAGGTTGTTGTTGATGGGGGAGTGTATAACGGGTAGTAGTGACGTGGGAAAGCGATTTATTAAGAAATATCTAAATACAAAGTGTAACGTTATATAACTTTGTTGTTTGTTAATATGTTTAGCTACAAAACAGGTGGTGGTGGGGATAAATCGAGACATGTGTCTTGTTTTCTTACGGCAGATCAACTATTTTGTCAACATATTCCAATTCGAATTTTCAAAGTGGCAAGTTGAAAAACTATGAAACTATTCTCTTGCTTGAGTTTTAATACTCATATATACTAGGTCCAACCTCATGGAGGAAGTTTGTTGAGCATCCGTGACCAGACTTATCTAACTCACATCACATGTGAAGTTGCTTATGCTTTTTTTATTTCTTTACAGAGATGCAACAAAAAGAACATTTAACATCATTGGTTAATGTAATTCCTCCAATGTTTTCATCACCACCAATAAAAACTTTCCACTTTTTGAAAGAAACTTTATTTCAAACAAGTGCACAACCGTTTCCTGCTCTTTAGTGCTATCTTTTTTTTTCCTTTTTCAAAAACCATAGTCATGGCAGAAATAAAATAAAGAATACCGAGAATGTGACTCAATTGAGTTTTGAGAATGTGTTGGGTTTTACTATGCGTACATGTCATCCACATTGCACTCGCCCAAGAACACTTTGACACTCCTTGGCGATCCGCAACTTCCTTCAGCTATTAGAACTCTGTCGTTTGCAGACATGTGCGCTATGATCTTGTATATCATCTCAATCTGCAAAATTCAAAAAAAAAAAAGAAGAACTTTTTCGATATGTCCATTTCAAAAAATTACTAATGAAAAGTTTTTTCTTCAAGGATTTATTTGGATCTTACTTCCTCAGGAGCATGACAACGATCAGCTATCTCGTCCAGTGTCAATGGCTCTACTGGATCTTTACAACTGCACGCAAAGAAAGAAGGCTTTGTATATAAAGTGGTCTCTCTTGAGAAAAGATTTGAAAAGAGTAGCAGGCATGGTCTGATTGTCACCTAGCTTCATTAAGAACTGACAATACACGCTTTTGCAGGGCCAGAACCTCTGCTGCTGCCTTTTTACCAGCTTCCACACCTGATATCGTTGTCAGATTCAGTAAACAAACTTCAATTGTGCAATAAGTTTTAAAATTTGGTCGGGATATCTATACCAGGTTGGTGGTAAGCATTAATGTTGACAAGTGAGGCATATAACCCCACCGCTCTTTCATAAAGAGCTATAAGAGCACCAACAGATCTTGGTGTCACTTCCTCGATAGTAACACTAATGGACTCTCTACCGTTTGCATATAAAGCAGATCTAGTTCCCTGCACAAATTCAAAACAGTTCCATCAGTGGTCTAAGTACAATGAGCAAAAGAGTATATTACTAGGAAACAAGATTCTTAAATCAGACCTGTAGCATCCCAAAGAGGTAGTCTCCACAAGTGACACCTGGTTCAAGATCCCAATCATGGCCTGGGGGTCTGTCACGTAGCACTTCTATAAAGGTTGCAAAGAAATTGTGAACACCCTCTCTCAGCTGTTGAATGTACCTAATGAGATTTTAACAAATTAAATACTGTTGTATAAAGAGCTCCCTTATAGAGAATGTATATGAATGAAGAAAACTCACGCATGCTGATCTGTGCTCCCTTTGTTTCCGTATACAGTTAACCCTTGATTAACCTGCAATTTCAAATTCACCGCTCCTTGGGATCACATTTGTAATAACAAGGTTGTGAAAACAGTTCACATGATTCAACTCTTCCATGAAGAAACGGTAACAAATTCAACTCAATCATGCACACAAGTAATTAAGTAAGTTAACAAGATATTCTGCTTTCTACGAGTGTGCACTAATTGCAAGACCAATTTGTACTTCTCAGGACATTTAAAATGCTCAAGAATTTTCATTCGGGATACTACAGTGAAAACTGAAGAAAGAGTATGCTTACAGTGTTACCGTCAAGATCAAACTCCTTTCCTAGTGATTCCATGACCAACTGCTGCAGATACCGGCTAAATAACAATAGGCTATCCTTGTAAGGAAGGATAACCATATCCTGTAAAAGAAAGGAAAATTGAAAAACTCATTCTCCTTGCTAGCCTTAGACACTAACGTTGAGGAAAATACCTTGGAACCAACGCCATCAGAAGCCCAGTACCAACACATTGCTAAGAGCGCTGCAGGGTTATTCTTGAGCTGAAAGAAAGTAACAAGCGAGTCATGATAGATTATCTAAATTGTATGCGATTTCATCTTCAATGAAAGAGTTCATACACAGGCTACAACAACTAAGACTTACCGAAGTTCTCCTAGTTGCCTTATCCATTATAGCAGCACCAGCAAGCATCTCTCTAATATCAATCCCCTATACAATGACAGTGCATTAACATACGTAAAAGCAACGAATGACAGTACTAAGTTTAAGCCTATGTACCATTTATTACCTGTAGTGCTGCTGGAAGCAGACCAACGGCAGACATTACTGATGTTCTTCCACCCACCCAGTCGTACATAGGAAATCTAGCTAACCAACCTTCAATTCTCGCCGTGTTATCCAGTAACGAGTTTTCTTGTGTTATAGCAACACCCTGCATAAGCATACATCATGAAGCTATATCATATGCAAATACATCTGCAGGTGTCTAATGATCCATGGGAAGCAAGTTTTTTAATGAGACAAAATACACTTTTCTCAGATACTTGTTAACCATGTTCCTTGAAGCATGGACTTCATTTTTTTAAAAAAAAAAAGCGGAAAGAAAAACCTGAGATCAAAACCTGTTTTGCAAAGTTCAGACCAGCGTCTCTGAATGCTTTCTGTACTTCCAATAATCCATTTCTAGTTTCAGGAGTACCTCCACTCTGGGAAACACATAAGAAACTTACTCATGCTCGCCAATATAGGGATCAAGTAGTGTCATCTAAACAGTCTGTGAACACAACCGGATAAAATACACACCTTTGAGATGACAATTACTAAAGTTGAGGCAAGCTCTGGCCCAAGTTGTGCGATCTGATGATCGATTCCCGCAGGGTCGGTGTTGTCAATGAATCTTATCTATCAACAGCGAAAGTAAAGAACAATAATAAAGAGTAAGCGAAACAAAAATGAGTTTTCAATATAGAGCACAACAAATTAGACTCTTTGGATTAGACAAAGCCAAGACATGAAGAGAGGATAAAAGGGACTAAGCCAAGAATCTTAACAACAAAATAAAGGTAATGTTGACTACGATTAAAACAGTGTCAGATACCTTCAAGGGAGGGTTATCAGGAGCCAAGGCCTCAGCAACAAACTGAGGTCCAAGAGCAGAGCCTCCAATGCCAACAGAAAGTATCTGAGTAAAACGACCCGCAAGAGAAGATGGTGGCTTTATCTGTCAATCCAGTGGAAACAGCAAACAATCAAGATTCAGACATGAATCAAACAGAGAGCTAACAAAGAAACAGCATTGCAATAAACCATAAATGTGATTCATTATCGCCATGATCAAGATACCAAACAGCAAGCAAACAAGCTAAGTAAAGACTCTGCATTGCAAGGTGGTGATCAAGTAATAAACCTTGCCAGAGACAATGTCATCAGCAAAACTACAGATGGAATCAAGCGTGTTCTCGATCAACGTCTTTAAACCCGGTCTAGGCGCGAGACTAGAGTTCCTAAGCCAGTAATGACCAACCATCCTCCCTTCATCTGGATTCGCTATAGACCCTTTCTCAAGATCCTCCATATCCTTAAACGCACCTTTGAATCTCTTCTCCATATCAACCACGAACTCATCTGTGAATCCAACGCGGCTGACATCAAGATACAGCCCGAGTTCCTTCTGCTGGTATAGCCAGTCGAGGTAACGGTTCCAGAGCGCATTGGGATCTTTGATAAGCTCCTTCTTGGCGGCGACATTAGTGTGAGAAATGTCGGAGCGAGACGCAGAGCGAGAGAGAGTCAATGGTAGAAGGTGGGTTGGTTTTGAGGTGTGTGGGAAAGAGAAGGAGTCTGCTCCTCTGATCGGAGCCGTTAGTGGTTTAACGGATGGTTTGAGAGAAGGGGAAGAAGAAGAGTAGAGGCTTGAGAGAGAGGCCATCTTGGAGACAGCGATGTTTACGAGGGAAGAGGAGCAGAGAGGTAATAAGAGTATATTTGGTTTATTCGGGGTATCTTTTTATGTGTGTGTGTACCGGTTTAGATATTTATTAGAAAGAACCAAACCAATGAAGAGAGATGAGTCTGAGAATGAGTTTTTGTCCTTTGGTGGAAACGAACGATTCTGCTTAGATTACGATTCACGAGCTATATGACTGCAATTGGATTTGTTACATTTTGGAGTAGAATGATGGGAGTTATTTAGTTCATAATTATTTATAAATTTCTTTACAATTTTGTGTTTGAATAATTTGATTGATTGGAACGAATATATTCCATTTTTAACCAATTAAGTTCACCTTATCCCACCAATATTATATCCACACGGATTATATTTAGTGTTACCATTTACAGCACTAGTATAGTATCGCACCACGAGGAATGAACCTGACACGAAAATGCGCAGGAAAAACGAGGGAAGGGGGATACTAATCGTGGTTTAAAGAAGTTAAACATGCTGACGTCATTCATATAACAAAAGAAAAACAAAAAAAAACAGGAGAAATGAAATCGAAAAAAGAGAAAGACAACCTATAAAAGAAATAAATATATTATCGGGGGAAAATGGCATATTCCTACCCAAACAATTTCAATCGTGCCAAATACAACTCAAATAAATTGTGAGTGCCAAATACGACCTGAACTACTTTATAATTCAAAAAAACTACCTGAATTTTTTAAAACGTGCCTAAACCTACATTGACCGTAACAGAAGTTAGTCAACCGTTAAAATAATAAAACAACGTCGTTTTGATTTCATTATTTTTTTTAAAATATGCATATTCCGGTACTCGTCTTTAAAACGGACACATCAACCACTATACTAAAGAAACTTTTTGATATAATACTACACATTTGCAATTATATATGATATTATACTTTTTCATCTTCTCTAATCAAAACTTTGGTTATTATTATTTTTGATTCTTATTAATATATTAACATGTTTTTTTAATTACATCATCTTTAATAAGTTTATATTTTATTTATATTTATACAAAATTAAATATATTTCATGTTTTGTACCTATTTAGAAAATGTCCATATATAAATTATTTTAAAATTTTAAAACTTGAATGGTAATTTCTTTTATTTTGGCAAAGTATATTCAACTTATATTAATTTTTACCTGAGGAAATATACTTTGCCAAAATAAAAGAAATTACCATTCAAGTTTTAAATTTTTAAAATAATTTATATATGGAATTTTTTAAAATATGTACAAAATATGAAATATATTTTAATTTGTATAAATATAAATATTTTATTATTTATATTTTAGTATAATATAAACTTATTAAAGATATAATAATTAAAAAACATATTAATATATTTATAAGAATAAAAAATAATACTCCCTCCGTTTCACTTTATTTGTCATTTTAGGTTTTTGCACATAGATTAAGGAAATATTTATTTTTACTTATTTTTAAGATAAAAACACAATTACCTATACACCTAACCACTTTTCAACCAATAGAAAAATAGAATATTATATAAAACTAATAAATTTTGGCCTCAAAACTCTAAAACGACACTTAATTTGTGACAAAAAAAATAAGCCTAGAATGCATATATTCTGAAACAGAGGGAGTAATAATCAAAGTTTTAATTAGAGAAGATAAAAAAGTATAGTAGCATATATAATTGCAAATTTGTTGTATTATAGCAAGAAGTTTCTTTAGTCTAGTGGTTGATGTGTCCGTGTTATAGAGTGACAAGGCACGGATTCGAGTCCCGGAATGTGCATATTTTTTAAAAAAAATAATGAAATCAAAACGACGTCATTTTATCATTTTAACGGTTGACAAACTTCTGTTATGGTCAATGTAGGTTTAGGCACGTTTTAAAAAGTTCATGTAGTTTTTTGAATTATAACGTAGTTTAGGTTGTATTTGACACTGACAATTTGTTCAAGGTTGTATTTGGCACGATTGAAATTGTTTAGGTAGGAATAGACCATTTTCCCTCGAAAGAGACGCAAACCCGAGATAGTATTATTCTGTAATTTCAAAATCTTTTTTTTTAGAGTTTGTGAATTAACAAAGAAGATGAACGTTGTTACAAACGTTCTTATTTTGGATAAATGAAAAGGAATACAGAGTTTGACTTATATAGTAATCATCGGTTCACATAACGAATTATACCAAAGACTAAACCACATTAAGACAAACGATTTCTTTACTCTAATATGCTCCCTCAAGATGGCAAGTAGATAGATTTTCAAACCATCTTGCCCACCAAGGTATAAAACTGAGGAGAAAACAAAGCCTTTGTAAAGATATCATCAAGCTGATTGGTTGTACGAACGTGAAGCAGTTTGATGAAGCCACAAACAATACGTTCTCACACTTGATGATAGTCCAACTCGATGTGTTTCGTACGTTCATGAAGCATCGAGTTGATAGCAATGTGTATATCTGCAGTAGAATCACAGAAGAAAGCAACATGACCCGTCTCCTCAGCCAAAAGATTACGAAGCCAGATAACCTCTCGAGATCCAAACTCCATACCCCTATACTCTAATTTTGCAGAGGAATGTGAAACGGTTTATTGTTTCTTCGATTTATAAGAGATCACAGATGGACCACGGAACATACAATAACCAGTGGTGGAACGTCTGGAATCAAGACATGAGGCCCAATCAGCATCAGTAAACCCTTGGAGATCTAAATTAGACCAGCTGGATATAATAGACCCAAACCAACACTGCCTTTTAAGTACCGAAGAACCTTGAGAGCAGCTTGGAAATGAGAGTTCTCCAGTGCAGATGTAAACTGACATAGCTTGTTCACAGCAAAGATGATGTCAAGACGAGTTACTGTCAAGTACATCATGATGCCTACGAGTCTTCTGTATGCAGACGGATCATCGAGAAGAGGTTCTGCAGAGTCTAAACAGAATTTTGCAGAAGGGTCCATTGGAATAGAAGATGGTTTACAAACCAAAAGACCAGCATCCTCTAACAAACTCAAAGTATATGTTCTCTGACAAACAGAGATTCCTTTGTCGGAATGAGCAATTTCAAGACCAAGAAAGTATTTCAAACCTCCAAGATCTCTGAGTTTAAAAGCATTGTTGAGATCAATCTTCAATGTATCAACATCCTCATCATTATTACTAGCAATAATTATATCATTAACGTAGACTAATAATGTAGTATAGATGCCATTAACATTGCGGATGAACAAGGTGTGATCTGAGTTTGATTTCATGAATCCAAGCTTAAGAAGAGTACCATTGAATTTCAAAAACTATTGACTTGATGCATGTTTTAAACCATAGAGAGATTTCTGCAGTTTACAGACAACATTGAGAGGAAGTGTTTCTCCATTCTTTGGTGTATATCCTGATGGTAATGTCATGTATATTTCTTCATCTAGAAAGGCGTTAGATATATCTAACTGAGTAAGGCTCCCTTTCTTGGCTGCAGAGACTGTAAGAAGCGTTTTGACTGTTGTCATTTTGGCCACAGGAGATAATGTATCAGAAAAATCAACTCCTTCATGTTACAATGGTGGCATCAGGATGAATTTTAATCTTATATACTCACTTACAATCAATAGCATGTTTACCTGGTGGAAGTGAACATATAGACCATGTATTAGTACTTTCCAGAGCAATCAATTCTTCATTCATAGCTTTTAGCCACTCGTCAAATTTCTTGGCCTGAGTGAAGCTTGTTGGTTCTGGATAGTGTGCAATAGCACATATATAAGCCTTGTAATCATCTGAAATATTATTAAAGACATGTAAGCCGAGAGAGGATATGGAATTTCAGTATCAGACTCAGTCACATTGACGTTAATAATCTTTAAGATGAGCAGGTAACTTTGAAATCCTCTTTTCTTTAGCCTTAGATACAGAGGAGCCAGAGCATGTGTCTGCAGAAGTACTAGGAGCAGTTGTAGAAGGAAGATTCTCCTCTGCAGGAAGATCACTAGCAGGAGCATAAGGCTTGACCAACTCTGAAACTGGAGAAAAGACATTTGTATATTCTTCATGAGTCTGATCCTTGGCACAAGGAAAGATTGACTCATGAAAATATAACAATATGTGATATGTGAACATCATTAGTTTCAATATCAAGCAACTTGTAACATTTATATCATGCAGGATATCCAAGGAAGATGCAAGGTTTGGAACGAGGCTGAAACTTATTTCGATTCTTTGGAGATGTCGAATAATAAGAAAGACATCCAAAGACCTTCAAAGCATCATAGTTCACCTTTTTAGATGTAAGAATTTCATAAGTAAACATGTCTTCAAGTAGAGGTGACGGAAGACGGTTAATGATGAACACTGCAGTGAGTACACAATGTGCTAAGCGTTACGCTGACATGAGTATGGTCATCATCAGAAGCTTTCAGTCCAAGAAGTGACCTACCTCCTTAGTCATTCGCCTCTTTAACTTGTTACTGCAAGAATTAGATAACTATTTAGATTGGTTTTGAAACACTGTGGTGGTTGTAATTATCAACAGAGGAACTCATATTCTTTTCTTTTTTTTTTAATTAGCATATTGCATAGCGATAACTACACTTGAGTCTTGAGACATCTCTTAATTACGATTGCAGTTTCATTTCATTCTTCTACAGTATTTATTTTTTCTAATCACTTATAGCATAGTGATCAATCCTAAAGTACCTCTCGATGTTATATTATCAACAATTTCGTTGGTCATTTATTTACAATTCTAGATGAAGTAACCTCCTCTAGAATCAAATATTCCTTTACACTTGTTCTTATATGCCATGAGATGGTAAGAACAAACAAGCTTGTTCGCCCAAATTCGCGCTTTTATCATACAATAGGGAAGCTCTTTGTGAGACAGTAAAGATTAAAATACGTTTTCTTAAGCAATGGCAAAAAATATTAAAAAAAAAAGAATGATCCTTATATTTATGTCATCATTGCCTATGTTCTGGAATATTATTGAGA